TTTCCTGTGATATAGCCAATGGTAAACGTTTTGATTGTACTAAATATGAAGAGCTCCGACAAAGTTTGGAAAAGTTTGAAAAAGAGAGATGTAATGGTGCTGTGTTAAGGTCTAAGTGTAAAAGGGCCGTTGATGGTGATAAAAATACCAGTTATTTTTTAAAGCTGGAGAAATATAGACAGAACTGCAATTCTATAAAATGTTCACGTGATGTTGATGGGAATATATTGACAACTGGTGATGAAATATCTAATGAAATATTCATTTTTTATAATGATTTATATAATTGTATTGAGACAAATGATGATGATATTGATGCTCTTTTATCTTTTATTGACAAAACTATCTCTGTGGAGGATAGAGATAAGTGTGACTCTGCTATTACTGTTGATGAGATACAAAAAGCTTTGTCTACTACGTCCAAATGTAAGAGTCCTGGCTTGGACGGCCTGACTGTTGAGTTTTATTGTAACTTTTTTGATGAATTGAAATATGTTTTTCCACGGGTAGTAGAAAGTATCTGGGCTGAAAAAGAATTGACAAGAACTATGAGACGAGGTGTTATTAACCTTGTATACAAGAAAAGGGGGGATAAATCTCTTCTGAAAAATTGGAGACCAATTAGTCTCCTTAATGTAGACTACAAGATCCTTGCTCGGGTAATGTCAGATCGCCTTAAGTCTGTTTTACCCTCAATCATTTCAGAATTTCAGTCGTGCTGTGTTATAGGGCGGGATATTTCGGACACCATTTTTAGCGTTCGTGATATCATTGATTTAACAAATCAAGAGGATCTTGAAGGGTACATCCTCAAAATTGATCAAGAAAAGGCTTTTGATCGTGTTAGTCATCCGTATTTATTTAAACTTTTAAAAAAATTTGGTTTTGGTGAGAATTTCGTTGATTGGATCAAGATTTTTTACACTAAAATCTCCAGTTCTGTCAAATATAATGGTAATTTGACAAATTTTATCTCTATTGGAAATTCAGTGAGACAAGGGTGTCCCATTTCGGCGATGCTTTACGTTTTGGCCGCGGAACCTCTGGGGAATATGTTTTTAAAGTCTCCAGATATTTCTGGTATCAAAGTTCCTCATAATGAATTTGAGTCTAAGGTGTATCAACACGCAGACGACACGACGTTGACACTTGGAAATAAGGAAACTTTTAAACATGTTTTTAACCTGTTAGAAGTCTACAGTAAGGGCTCTGGTGCCAAGATAAATAAAGATAAGTCCGAAATGTTATGTATTGGTAAAGGTAATATCACAATGGATGAACTTGAAAAACTACGTATCAAATTATGTGATAAGGTTATATGTGTGTTGGGTGTATTTGTCGGTATAGATATACACATGTGTAACGAAAAGAACTGGGATAGTAAAGTTGTGTCTATTAAAAATATTCTTAGAATGTGGTCGCAGAGGCAATTGACTATACAAGGAAGAGCTACTGTAATCAGTTCCTTATTGATGTCCAGGTGTTGGTATTGTCTAACTTCACAGACTATTCCTCTGTCAGTTATTAGTAATATCAAGAAATTATGTATTGATTTTTTATGGCATGGTAGATCACATTTAGTAGCCTATGACACTATAATTGGTAAAAGAAAAGAAGGTGGTTTAAATGTACCTGACATTGAATTAAAATTGAGATCTTTCAGATTAAAATTTTTATTTAGATGGTTGGACACGTCTTGTACTGCTGTCTGGAAGAATATGTGCAGCTATTTTTTCAACAAAATACTTGGTTTAAATCTTGATGCTGAAGTAATTTATTGTAAATTTCCTGATAAATATTTAAGAACAGTGCCTATTGTTTACCGCGAAATGTTGAAAGCATGGTATGCCTTTCAGGCAGTAAATAAGGTTTGTTTTAATATGGATAGCTTTTTCATTTATGAACAGCCTTTGTTTTTTAACTCTAACATTATGGACAATGAGAAACCTGTTTTTATTGAGTGTTTTGCTAAGGCGGGTATTGTAAAGGTTAAGCATCTAACGCTTGAAGTTGTGTCAAAGTTCCTCTCCTCAAGCACATTACCTAAGGTAGTAAAGAAGCTAACCCCGATATTTCTAATGATATCTTGTTATCCCATTATGAAATCTATTCCAGTCAAATATAAAGATGTGATTTTAACTAATGTACATACAAATAGAAGAACAGAGCCAGGGCTGTGTGTTACTTACAAAGATGGAAATGGGACTACTATTCAGCTACGCCCCAAAACTACTCGTGATATTTATGCTTGTTTATCCGTTATTTCTTCAAATGTCCCAAATCTTCGGGGTACTGGTCAGAAATTTTTCAGAATGTTTGTCTTCCTCGCGTTTTTTTCCATTATGTATTTGCAATTTCTACCTTGTGACATCATTGATGTTCATTTTCGTATTGTGCATAATACTATTTTTACAATGGAAAAGTTAAAGAAAATAGGGAAAGTTGACAGTGACACTTGTCTATTGTGCAATTCCGAGAAGGAAACCCTACAGCATCTGTTTGTTGAGTGTTCAGACCTTGCAGAATTTTTGGCCTACATTGACAAATTAAGTAAGAAGCTTTTCTCCGATGCTGATCAGACCTATCTTTCAGATGTTTCTCTTGGTAAACTTATACTTCTGGTTTACACTAGCAAGGTTAAACAAACAAATCATTTTTTCATCAACTTCCTTTTAGGTACAGTAAGCTTTAGCATTCTTAGAAGGCGTAATCTGGTTGTTAATGGGATGTCTAAATTAAATCTGAATGGCTTTTTTAAGTATACTTTCAGAAAGTATTTCGATTATATCAAACATTACTACCAGATGAAAAAACAATGCAGTTTGTTCAAGAAATATATTGTTGCTGACAATAAATTATTAAAGGAAGTCGACTTTTCTCTTAGTAATGTAAATTTAGCTTCCTACGTCTTATCTATATGACTATGTCAAGTTATATGTTCATCAGTATTAGTAAACATTGTATGTTTGCATCAACGCAATTTCGGAAAATCATTTCCATAAGAGTTTCGTGGTGTAGTGGTTATCACGTCTGCTTCACACGCAGAAGGTCGTGTGTTCGAACCTCGCCGAAACCTAAATATTACTTTTTTATTCTTATTACCGACATATCTTGCATTATCCTAGATCACCATTCAACTTCATCGCAAACATTAAAGTCAACTAGGAATAATCGACCTAACTTTTCAGTAAATATAGCGAATTAAATCAACTTGACTATCAACTATTTGGATCGATCGAAAGAGTATGTGCGGTTCTGTGGTGTAGTGGTTATCACGTCTGCTTTACACGCAGAAGGCCGCGAGTTCGAACCTCGCCAGAACCTCTCAGTATTTTTGCAAATGACACTATTTGGAATCCCAGATCGTCTTATTAGCCGATTGGGTGAAAGAAAAACCCAACGCCGCAGTTCAAGTTCAATACATGTCATGTCGATTCTTATCATTATAATACTTTCAATACACAGACACAGAGATGTTTACCAGCATATATATATTTAATTCTTTATCTATTTATCTGATTGGTGGCGTAAAATGATAAACCTACAATGAAAAGACAGTCGAGACAGTATTTCCGTATTGCTATACCTAAATATATCTTGTTTCATAAATAAATATTTAAAACAACTTTTATCGTAACTAGATCATTGGTCCTGTAACAACAATAACAATTTGCAATAATACACGTTTATAACATGGTAAATTAGTTTAGAAGATATTTCCTGATAACACCATGTTCCATATGCATTAGGAAACAATCTTAAGCATTAGTTATCAACCATATCAACTAAATATTACCCTTCATCAGTGATAATTCTGTTACTGAACTACCCATTCACATCTGTATTTAAACCACAAGGATTAGTCACTTTAAACCAGGGTAAATATCGCAGAAATAGCCTAAAGATTTCATGGAAATTGACAAAGCAAACAAACAGTTATAGAAATTGATGAAAGCATCAACTTCTCTATTACAATATTGCAACCAAAAATCTTGTAATACTATAAAAAGGAAATATCAATTATTTATGGAAATTCATCGATGCATCAATTTCTCTATTGCAGGATCAATGGAATTGTGAGATTGATTTCATATCATTTTATTATTATTTTGTTTTTACCTGATGTTGTTTTAATCGTTTTCAAATTGAGGAGTCTTCGGGGCCCCGACCATAAAACCGTTTATAGTCCTCATTATTATGCATCTCGTATATCTCCGTGATGTTTATCTTATTGTCAGAAGTAGACACCTCTCATGGAAATTGTGATACTGGAAAAGAAAATTCGTCAACGTTTCTGTGAGAATGACCGTAGGTCGAGAAAATATGAATGTTACCATCGAGAATAGCAAAATAAATTCACAACAGAGAAAAGCGATAATTACGCTTATGTCGTATAGGAATGTTACTATATTCTTATTGGTGGTATATTTAAAGACCAGTTTTGATGATGTTGGCAGTATACAGTTTTTTTTTATGTGGTCATTGGTGTTGTTTTAGTGTATTAGTTTATATCTTTGAGAAGGTATAACCTTGATGAGGTAGACAACTTGATGTCTCGTTATTTTTTTCGGAATTGGGTTTGGAACTGTGTTGTAGATTAACATTTGTTCAGTCTCGAATTTGTGTCTACCTACAAAAATCGGGCTGAACTGGAAGTAGGATTTCCTTATTGTCAACACGAGTTCGTGTTGTGAATCTGTTCCGGGTGGGGTTTAGCTGAGACGTGACAATTTGAGTAGGTATTCATAAAAATTCAAAACATTAAACCTCGCTAAATTTGTTTTAGCCTTGTTGAAAAAGAAAAAAATATCATCTGAAATATAAATAATAAAAGTATCAATTCCAAGCGAATTTCTATGTTATTTATTGTCTCTTTGACATGTGGTGAATAGTATATTAATTCTTATTTAGCACTTGTATATTAATGGAACTTAATCATCGATGAGCTGTCTATGAAAGATGAATACAACAGAGGTTAATTGATACACATAAGTAACGGATCACATAAGTGGGTAGCTGGCCATTGTAGCAATTCCACACTGATTATTTTTGTTCCGAGACATCATCACATAACCACCGTCTCCCCACTGCGTCCCCCAACTACAATATCGAAACAAACATTTCGTTAACTTCATATTAATTTATTTCTGTGACTGTTTTTTCTTTTGCTTTTGCAACAAATCATTAAACTTTTCAAACGCTCTATGGCTTTTACATGTCTGTCAGATGAACTTAATAGGACCTTTTATAGAATCTAATAAAGACAATGCATTTTGCAATCTTATACAGAAAAGAAGGAATGCTTCCATATTCCATAGACATGCCGGACATACAACTAAAAATAAAATGCATTATTTTCCCGTTTAACTTTGTCTGCATCAATTATAATCATATGGTGAAAAATTTACAGAAAATAATTAAAATGACTGAAGATATCAATCCTTACCTATTTTTGACTATCCACATGTCATTGCCGTTGAGAGTGCCGTATCCTACAACCAGTACGCCATGGTCAAGATTGGTTGGACTACACTGAGGCTCGTCATAAACTCCTAATAAGATAAAAATTGGTTACCTCAACAGTCCCGTGGATAAGAATCCCTCCCTTGGTTGATGTTTGAACAATTTTGACAGTAATAGATATAGTATATGATATATTCTCCTAACCTTATAGATATAATTCCAGACCCTTAGCACTCAATGTTATGAATTTATTCAATGTATCAGACTTTTGATCATTTTAATTAGATTCTTCAAAAGGAAATAAAAAATATTTGATTTTGCGTTCTTGATATATCAATTATTTATTATAATTATGAACTAGGTGTCGGGACCGTTGCTGAGAGAAGCCGGGTACCACGTACACATGCCAATGGCGACAAAGAGAACATTATCTAAAATAACATCTTCAGTTTACCCTTCTAACGAGTTACAACACTTGTATCTATAATACACACATATTGACCGAGGCTTAGGCATTCATGCCAACTCCCTGTGTACAAAAAATAGTTTCACAGTCAATCTAGGAAAACAATTGAAATACGTATGGCACACCACTTACCGCCCGCGTATAGCTGAAATGAGGTATGACTTGCGTCTATGGCAACGGATATAGGTCCAACGGTGGCCACGGCCGCTAGCAATCCTAGTTCAAATCCGGCTGGTATTCCGACGATACCTGAGCAGGTCGCTACCGTCTTAGACGAGTCGTACATACAATCCCCGTCCTGTATGTTTTAAGTTATAATGGATACACATTCCTCTATAGGTTACCATGACAATAACAGTAACTTCTTAACATGTCAATGAAATAATATTTAAGTAAATCACTTAATTCTAATTTATAGCTATTTCTTTGTAAACATAATTTAGTGCGAAATTATATATTAATATTTTCAAATCTATATCAAATAAAGTAAAAAGGAAATACTGTAAATGAATTTAAATTTGCGAATGATGGTTTATGAGATATATGGACACCGATATTGGTTACGGAATCAGCACGACTATCATCAAGAGTTATTTTCGTACAAATAATCATGAGAGATTTAATTTGTGATTGATTTTTCCTCGCGTATTAAATATTAGTGATTTAAAACACTCATTATTTAAATTGAATAGCAATATATCTATGTATGTATGTGTATATCGCAGGAAGGAATTCTGAGATATCAATTGTTTGATAACCTATTCATGTAATATCGTGTAATGTAATTGCATACAACAAAACAACATGTCAACTATTGAATGAACAGCCAGTTTTTTTTATTTTATTCTTTTCATTAGTAAATGTAGATTATACCTGGGCGGTGTAGGGGTAGTCGAATTCCGATTCTATGCCGTAGGTCTCTACGTACTTGAAGGCGTTGTCCATAAGACCGCCATTACAGCCGTTGTTACCAAAACTGGTAGAACAGTCATTCAACTGCTGTTCACTTAGAGATACTAAAATCCCCGTCTTCTTGAAATGCTGTCCCTCGAGAGAACCGGTCTGAAAAACAACGTAACAATATAACACATCAAGCCTACAAAAGTTTCAGGTTTAATCCAAATATTTCATAATCTGATATATCACGTATTTCTGCATATATGTTTCAACATCACTATTTTCAGCTTTTTTCATTACTTATATAGAATGCTCGTCTAACTGAATTCAAAATTAAACAATATCATCCATATAAAAATTGGTGTAAGTTGAATACAATATTCAATTAAGCACTGGTGAAATTTGTTTCCTTTTTTGACACTATATGATGTTGGAATGCACGTCTTGTTAACTATGTAGGCAGTTAATACTTACTGCACTAAATGCCCAGCAATCTCCGCACACACCCTAAATAGCAAGAAAAATTTGTAAATAAAAATTACAAACATTGATCTATATACAGCTTAAGTGATATCTAAAACACCAAAACGTAGACTCCTGAAAAGGTTCAGGTAGAATAAGACCAGGTATTTCGGAATAGCAAGCGTCTTTTGCTTCACCGACGACACTTGCCATGTATATCGATGACTATCACCATAATCTACACCGCAAGGCAAGGTGGCCAAAGAGCAAAACATTAAATCATGTGATATAAGAGTAAACATATATACAGGTATGTAGATCTGCGTCTTCCTATCACAGTATTATAAATGAAAATAGTCAAGTGTTCCATTCGATACACCATGGTGGTCTACTAATTATTAGTGCAATATAATGGAATACTGGTGTAATGTAGTGAAAATTGTTGTTACTAAAGCTATAGTACTACAGGCCATATATTTTCCTGTTATATGCTGACAAACTTCTCTGACATACTTCTCTGAGTTCATATATCAATTAACTGGTACTAATGTTCCCACAGCATCACAGCATGTACATCCCCATAACGTGACAAAAGTCTTACAGGACATTTTGGATTGGAATGCTCTCCAGGGCACCTCGGCAGCCACTGCCCACCGTCTTTCCTCCGAATCCTATTTTTTTTTTTTTTTTTTTAATCAGTTCCTAAAACAATTTTTGTTTCATTTGAAAATATGAATTCCTCCAGTCAACTGTCCATGTAAGACGAGATTTGCACCAAGCCCTGTTCACGACTGATATGATTTTTTCCTCTGACAACTCTACTTTTATAATCATACTGTCTCAAGCGGCGTTTCACAGTACTCTCTGACAACTTTACCTGTGTTTCATTATAAATCTTATTCGTTACATCTCTCAGAATCATCCGTCTATTTAACTTTGAAATACCTACTAATTTCCGATAATTTTTTTCGGTCTCCCTGTCCGACGGCAGATTCAATCGATCCACGATTACGTTTTTAAAAAACTATGAAATTAAAGATAGATCCATGTAAAGAATGTCTCTGGTGTGGGCACTGTCACCATCGTCACTTAATTCTAAAATCGCATTTTTGATACTAGTTTCATCTCTGTTCGTCTCGGCGTCTCCATTTTACAGACGACACATAACAAATCAAGGTTACATAAGAAACGGTGCAGGGCAAAACTCTTACCTATTAAACTTTGAAGGGGCTATGTAACCTGAAAAATAATACTTAATCGTTGACTAATGGAAAATTTACAGATAACGGCGGCCATTTTTGGGAAAGACTTTTGACCTTTTGCTGTATGTTAGGTCCAACACAATACTTATTCAAATCTATTGATATATAGGAAACTAAGTGTTTTTTTTTGCTTTTTTTTTTTTTTTTTAATTTCCGTTTTTACAAATACCTTAAACACGAGGTTTTCCTCAGTTATTTTTCAGCTTTTTTTCGTAAGTAGTTGTTTCCCTAATCATGATCTAGTCTTATCAAAATCCGATTCCTGAAAAACCAAGATGCATTTTCTTGATTCAAGTCTCTCACCTGGTTTTTTACTTCCGTAACGTAACCAAGCGTTCTCCAGTCGACTTCTTCTGGAGCCATGACGTTGTTCGGCCTTAGGAATGTTGAAGTCATACTTTGGTTGCTTTTCCGCATCATACTCGTGCTGAGCCATTTTGAATATTCTGCAGAGTCCTTGTAATTCAGTGAGATGAAAATAAAGGTGTGCACATCAGAAACAAATTACTACTTTATATATGCTTAGACAACAAAATATGATTTTGTAAAAAAAAAAAAATACTTTTTCCAAGTATCGATGACCTTTGACTCAGTGACCTTGAATCTTGGGAAACAAAATCATTGAATCATTTCCTTAAACTTTAAATGCAAATACCTCTATATAAAATTGACGATTTTCAAACGATTTGGCATTCTTTTGATATTTCTGTTCTTAAACTATAACCGAAAATTGCCCCAGTACTGGATGTCAAACGGTAAGTCCAGAGAAAACGAAGTTTGCAATTTTGCAAGAGCTACACATTGAAATTACGACCAAATCTAGTACTTACTTCATTTCATTTCTCCCAAGAGAGAACAATTTAATAATATTATCGTTTTAGTTATTTTGCAATTCTGATGAAAACTTTTGATCTTAAGAAGATCAAAATCTGAAAAAGTTAACAGACGACGGACAAATATGCCTTTATTTTTGATACTGAGAAAACGTAATATATGCCCATCTTCTGAACAATCCTTTCTCTCTATAATGCAAAAAAGCATGCGGTTGGCTATATTAGCTTGGTCAATATGATTTACTGAAAAGAAATTTGCTTTCTTAAATCTTCTATACTTACCTACGTCATATGGTCCTATATATTACTGTATATGGATTACTTAGGCCATATCAAAATTACTTCTTTGCTTCAAATAAAACAAACCATGTCAGTAAATTGGTTGACTCCAAGAAAGAAGTTCTTCTGTCCAGATACATACAGCTTGTTATGTTCTTCTATAATCTGAATGTTTGTCCTGAATATCTCGAACCTCCTCAACTCTTCTAGGACGGTTGGGTATATCTTGTCTGAAATATGAGATTTTACTACATTCCTTTACTCAAACCAATAGACATTCTTAATACCTAACACAAGAGATTTTACACACTTTAAATACATGTATGTTTCAGTATCTGTACTGTGCTAACAATTGGTTTCGGAATAGATATCGTTTTCTAAGTTTTGTTAATATTTCACATATATCTTGAATAAATCCTCAGCATTTTGTCGATGGATAATCGTACAAAAAGCTGCTGATTCTAAAATGAAAATTAGCTTCCACATAAATCCCCAAATCCCTTTTGTGTTTATTGTAAAACATTAACTTCTTCTTCCGTCTTCTTTACCGAGAAATCGAGTATTAACAGCAGTTAATGAATCATCAACACGCATATCTTAGGGTATTGCCAATTGTTTCAGCCATGTCATAATGTAAAATCATGTATATCTATGCTCTTAATAATGATAACACTGATTCACGAAATCGGGGGAAATCGGATGTCAGCCGATACAGTTGGTTCGGTCTTGTGACTGTCGACGCGTTACTTAAAGCTTTGTCAACTTTCTATGCTTTACATCATCACAAAGAAACCACCGTATGGAAGTTTATGTGCAACATCTCTATTAAGTGTTGGTTTTGTTAGATATTTTGTAATATCCTCTACTCTTTCCATATATTAATTTATATTAGTTTAAAATTCAACTGAGTATATCTGCAGATTTTTTAAAAAGTTCTATATAGGACGTCATGTGAGCAGGACAAAAATGGCATTTTCCCAGGAGGATGGGGATCATTGTTATTCTAAACTAGGAAATACGATTTCATTTGTTATCATTATTATCATTTGTTCTTTATAACTGCCTCTGTAGGTATTTAATTTTATGATTCGAAGGTATGAATTAATCCTATCGATACCAGAATCTACATAAATCTCTAGCTGATATTCTGTTATGATTCACCTGCCTATTGACTTACATAAACACAAATCCTCACTTCCCTTCTCGCATTATTGTTTACTTCCTTGTGACCTTTACCTTGAGACTGTCTGCACTGTTGGACAGATGCAGTGTTTGCTGAAACCTTCCCAACTGTGACCGAATTTGATATTGGGTAGTGATATTGTAACCCACCGGGTAGCGATCGGTAACTTCTTCATACGTACACATTGTAACCACTTGAGAAGCTTCTCAAATGTTAAAATTAATCTGCATTTTATTTCTCGTGAAGTGGGATATCTATTTGTACTCAATCTTATCTCAATTAAGACCTCGAGTTACCGGTTTATTTTTTACGTTGTGTTGTGGAGGTGTTGTAGTCTATATTTCTCATATTCTTTCTGCCTAACGCCATTTTGATTTAGAATTTCAATTTGATAATACATTTTTCATCAAATCTGACATTGTTGATATCCTTAAGTCCTTAAATGTAGGTAAATCCATGGGATATGATAAAAACAGTCACCAAATGTTAAAAAATACTGTTCTTTCTGTGTGTGTCATTTCCGCTATTTCTTATTTTCAGAAAGTCTTTTGGTCAAGGAATACATCATAATTCCTGGAAAAAAGCACTGGTCGTGCCCATTTTCAAGAATGGCGATAAACAGCGTCCCAGTTATAATTATAGACCTATAGCCTTAATAAAAAAAAGTCACTAAATCTCTACACAATTATTTAATAGACAATTCTTTAATATATAAATACCAATCTGGATTCCAGCCAGGTCATTCCACAGTTCATCAACTAATTAAAATTTATCATAATGTATGTAAAAATTTAGAAAACCGTAAACTCTCCTGTGGAATCACTGGAACTCTCTCAAACTGGCTATCCGATTACGCTGATAATCGTTCCCAACAAGTCTTTATTCATAATGTTACTTCTAGTATCAAAACAACAAATGCTGATGTACCACAGGGGTTTGTCTTAGGTCCACTTCGTTTTCTTTTGTATATGAATGATATAACGGATCATGTTGACAGTCTTTCCCGCCTATTTGCTGATGATACTTCCCTTTCTGTCTCTTCCCACTCCCCAATCGAAATGGAAACCACCACTAACAGAGATATTGAAACAATTCAATACTGGGCAGAAAAATTGGCTTGTAAAGTTTAATGCCAATAAAACGGAAGCACTTCTTATTTGAAATACCAATCCGGAACTTGACAAAAATAAGTTTTTAATAGATATCGATTTTATTGAGCGTTATAAATATTTAGGTATTTTCCTAGATGCTGGTTGTAAATGGACTCATCATATTGATAACATTTGTAAAAATGTCACGTTGCATATTGGGTTACTTCGAAAGTTAGAATATACTTTGAATCGTAAGACTTTAGATAGAATTTACCTTACTTTCATACTGCCTCTACTTGACTATTGTTGTGAAGTTTGGAACGGATGTACGATTGCGGATGCTGATAAACTAGGAAAAATACAGCTTGAAGCGGCGCGTATTGTCACTGGTCTGCTATCATTTGCTAGCAGAGTATCTCTTTATTTTGAAACTGGTTGGGAAGTCTTATCTAAACGACACATTCGCCGCAAACTTCAACTTTTCAATAAAATTCACAACAATATGTTCCCCCTCATACCTTACAGACCTTCTCCCCCATTAGTATCTTCATTAACTCAGTATCATTTGACAAACTCTGAAAATTATCTATTCCTAATTTTCGTTTACAATCTACACTCAGTTCTTCTATACCTTTTACGTTAAGGTTGTGGAATGATCTAGTCATTAATATTAAAACTGCGACCACTTTAAAGATCTTCAAAAACCGTCTCTCTCAACAAGATAAAACATTTAATGTTCCTAATGTCTAGCTAGTTGGAGATCGTAAGCTAAATATTTTATTAACCAAACTCCGCCATATATGTTCATCGTTTCTTATTTGCATGTAGTAGATTTAATTACCAACGTCTGGCCATGTTCAGAAACCTTCATAAATATTTACCGTTAAGTTTAGATGAATTATTATTTGGTAATGAAGACTACTCAAGTGATGATAACAAGTACATATTGAGTACGCGCCGGTTTAGATAGGTCATGTTCCATGCTCTTGTGTCATTCTATAAAATCGCATAATTATTTCTTTCAAATTAGTTTAATTTGGTTTCCGAATTTCCATGGCTTGCGAGCATGCTTATGTTGTGTGATAACATGATTCGGTTGGTGCGGTTAAATGTAATATATAGCGTAAGATATATTTAAGATGTATTTTGTAAGAATGTATTTATCTAACCATGAAATTTGAGTAAATCTCTCTCTCTCTCTCTCTCTCTCTCTCTCTCTCTCTCTCTCTCTCTCAATTAAAGATAATATGTATATAATTATTTTGTGCCATCTTGAAATGTGTATGCATATTTCTTTTCTTCTAAAGGAAATGGCATTAATAATGTTATTGTAACTTGTGCCCAATCCTTTCGCTTAACGGCAATAAAATATGTTTAAACTACAATAAATACAAATCTAACGATATCCTTCAGATTTTTTTCATATAGGAGAATGATGCATCAAACCAAATTTTGACGAACATTTGAAGTAACATGTAAACAAAACAATAAAGAAAACACCAAATAGAGTCTTAGCTCGTCAGGTAGTCTTTAGGGGGGAAACGTCTGAACAGGGTTGGAACTCCCGAGTGAAGCTTACAGCAACCTGCAGTCTGATTCCGTGTTTAATCTTTAGAACACGTGTAGTACTCGGACGGACAAACGGACATGCAAACCAATTCCAGTCTACTCTATTCTTACGTAGCGAGGTAAGTGGGGTTGACTTGTGATAAAATACAATAAAACTATCTGAATTTAAAACTATCTTGCTAAAGAACATATACATTCAGTTCATTACCGTATTTTCCCTGGAACTCCACAAAACTGACGCTATACGGTGAAAGATCAGTAGGTACGTCCTGTAGGATCTGTGATGATTGATACCATCCCTGAACGTTTGGAAAGGCTGAGGCAATCGGCAACAAACAACATAGAAAGAGCAACATCGTATCTGGAAAGTGAAAATAAGTACGAGGTCTTACTCGTATGGATGATTATGTGATTAACTTAACTTGGTTGGTATTATCAAAGCTGGTGATGAACACTGTTGGGATTCAGAACCGAGACAGGTAAGTCAAACAAATATGTCACTTCCCGAATAGGTTTGTTCGGCGTCTTGAGATAACATTAGTGATATAATAACAATTCCTACATTAATTTTCATAAAAAGGTAATTCAGTTATGTTATACTTTTCCTCTTTGTTTTAGTCAAACACTTACCAATAAAAGCGATGTCTGGCTTGACGGGGACAAATGTACTTTTTCCTTGTGACGTGCACCTGCAGTGTCTAGTCGTGTGACTATACCCGAATACACACAACCCAGTTGGCTCTGTCTTGTGACTGTCTACGCGTTACTTAAAGCTTTGTCAACTTTCTATGCTTTATATCATCACAAAGAAAACACCGTATGGAAGTTTATGTGCAACATCTCTATTATGTGTTGGTCTTGAAAGATATTTTGTAATATCCTCTACTCTTTCCATATATTACTTTATATTAGTTTTAGCTTAGTTTTAAGTTTAAATTTCAAATGAGTATATCTGCAGATTTTTTAAAACGTTCTATATAGGAAGTCATGTGAGCAGGACAAAAATAGCATTTTCCCAGGAGGATGGGGATCATTGTTACTCTAAACTAGGAAATACGATTTCATTTGTTATCATTATTATTATTTGTTCTTTATAACTGCCTCTGTAGGTATTTAAGTTTATGATTCGAAGGTATGAATTAATCCTATCGATACCAGAATCTACATAAATCTCTAGCTGATATTCTGTTTTGATTCACTAGCCTAATCACTTTCATAAACACAAATCTACTCAACCACGCCAGTGTAAATCATAGTTTTTGCATCTTAATCTACATATCACAAAAACAGTTTGAGCTTCTGTCTACACAGTTTACACGTTTAAATCGGAAGCAATAAACAGAAGCTCAATTCAAAACCGAACGGTGATATATATATAGTGTGAGCGTTATCTGGTTTATAACTGTATTTAATTGGGACAGTCAATTATACACGTACAATTTACAGACTACGAAGGTTACCAGATTTATTTCTCTTTCGATGGATTTATGCTATTATAGTTGGTTAGAAAAACTCTCATTGAGTTGTTTTTTTACATAAACAACAACACTTTTGTTTTCAATCTATTTAAATGATCTAGAATCTTATCTTGCTGAGAGAAATGTGCATTGTCTCGAAACAGTTGACAAACTTTGTATTGACAATGTTGGATTATATCTCAAACTCTTCATTATCTTATATGCAGATGATACCGTCCTGTTATCAGAATCACCAGATGGTTTACAGTTTGCTTTAAATGAATTTGAACAATATTGTAATACTTGGAAGTTAACTAATCAACCCCCGAACAACTATGTAACGTAGAATTGGAAATACATGAAGGGTATACCTACCTTAGTATTTTCTTTAATGGTAGTTTTTTTTAAAGCAAGGAAAAATTTGTTGAACAGGCACAGAAATCACTTTTTGCTGTCTATAAAAAATTAAGAAATATTTCATTACCAGTTGATTTGCAATTGAAAATATTTGATTCAGTTATCATGCCAGTTCTCCTGTATTCAACAGAAATATGAGGTTTTGAAAATACCAATATTATAGAGAAAATCCAAATGCACTTCTGTAAAAGTATTCTAAATGTAAGAAAAGGCACAGCTGATTTCATTGTTTATGGAGAGCTGGGTAGATACCCATTAGATATCGAAATAAAATGTAGAATAGTATTATTTTGGCATAAGTTGATTACATTTAATAAGTCATCAAGTAATATTTATATGTTAATGAACACATTACAAGAAAATGGAATTGTGTCATTTAAATGGCTCTCATATGTCAAGGATATACTTTTCCAAACGGGTCTGAATTATGTTTGGTATTATCAATCTACATGTTCTTTTTCAAAAGATGAAATTAAGAATTTGGTGAAAAATAGACTTAAGGATCAATTTATACAGAAATTGTTTGATGACATTTCTAACTCCTCTATGGGACAAACATATTCCATTTTTAAGACAAAGTTTGAACAAGAAAAATACTTAACTAAGCGTAATACCATTGATAGGAAAATTATGTGTAAATTTCGTTCTTCAAATATGCGTTTACCGGTAGAAACAGGAAGATGGACAGGTATCCCTCATCAAGAAAGATTCTGCACATTATGTAACTCCGACATCGGAGACGAATATCACTATTCATTTAAATGTGAAAACGAATCAGTAAAACGTCCAAGAGAAAACTATATACCAAAATATTACTTTACTTACCCAAGTCATATCAAAATGCAAGGATTGTTTAACATATTCAATGTTAAAATATTTACAAGAATTTGTAGATTTATAGAAAAACTTGATAAATTGTTGATTTAAGTGTTCAAATTTAAGTACCAAATTGTTAATACACGAATGCGATAGTTAGTAATTATTACTATCCTTTACAGAAATTGTTGTCATTGTACCTGTCATAGCCACGTATCATGTAAATTGTATGTATGTGACCTCTTGTTACACACGTAAGTGTGTCAGAGTGACTGAATAAAACCTTGACACAAAACTGACCGAATAAAGGCATCCTGTATTTTGGAATAAATTACATGTAGTCGCTTCCCTGATTATCTTCCTATTCTTAGACTAAAAGTTCCTGTCACGGCTTGTTATCTCGAAATTCTTTTCTTTTTTTCCTTGTAGTTTGCAAGAAGAGGTCAAAAAGACGAAATAGATGGGCACAGTAAACAATATAATATACATTTGTTTGCTTATTTGCAGAAAATCACTGTATCTATATATAAGCAGTTTATTCAGGCTTTGTATAAATCGACTTACCTTACTGAATAAAACAGTTTTACATATCGCGAACATTTCTTTCACTTTATTATAATTTGTACTATCATAACGATAATTAGGAGATATATAGATTAGTCGGCAAGCGACACCATTTTTGTCATTGAATGTTCTGATTGTGGTCAGTGTGGAGTTTCCTTGTCATAGCATGGTAGGTTTATACACATACCATAACATTGATAGAACCTTACAGATTACACAAGGTACAATATATTCACGTCGGTTTTTATGTAAGGTATAATATCAAACCATGTCTCGTCGGAGAATGTTATCATGATCATTACTGTACAGGATATAGTTATATGACCATGATTGACAAGGAGGAATAACTTGGTGGAAAAGTGAATGCAATTCTATTCATGTTACATATAAAAATGATTTCAGTACGTATGATTTTAAAACTTTTTCTGTTCGTCCGAGTAAGTTACCGTAAGAACCGGAACTCACAATGAAATATCACACACACACACAGACACACACAGACACACACACTGTACACACAGTGTGTGTGTGTGTGTGTGTGTGTGTGTGTGTGTGTGTGTGTGTGTGTGTGTGTGTGTGTGTGTGTGTGTGTGTGTAATGTAATGTAATCACCTGAAGATGGCCGCGAGGCCTGAAAACATTAGTGATATATTTGTTTGTCATGTTAAGTGATTAATTTTCTCTGTATATACGATACACAAAGTTTTTATCTTTTTAAATTATATATATATATACGACCCTTAGTGACAAACCAAATCTGTAAATGACGGAAGCCAGCGTGGGCCATATTGCAGCCATTCAGGTAGCAGCTTACTTTTATTTACAGGAAAATACTTCAAGGTCAGTTACCTATAGTATGCAATGCAAAACACCGTTATGGGCTCTTATCAATTTTGGGGGAAATGTAGGTTAAAGTGTATTTTTGTTTTCTCTGCTAAATAAGAATCAGATTAAAATCAATTGAATGCAGAATCTGTAAAATGGATCATAGTCGCATAATTTTAACAATGATATAACTCCGGTTATGTAACTGCAATTATCGAAATGGTCACAACCCCTCCCCACAGTATACTGAAGTGTCTGGTCGCAACCCCTCCTCCTCACAGTATGCTGAAGTGTCTGGTCGCAACCCCTCCTCACAGTATACTGAAGTGTCTTATCACAACCCCTCCTCACAGTATGCTGAAGTGTCTGGTCACAACCCCTCCTCACAGTATACTGAAGTGTCTGGTCGCAACCCCTCCTCACATTATGCTAAAGTGTCTGGTCACAACCCCTCTCCACAGTATGCTGGAGTGTCTGGTCACAACCCCTACCCACAGGATCCTGGGGTGTCTGGTCACAACCCCGACCCACAGGATCCTGGAGTGTGTAGTCACAATCCCTCATAACTGTATCCTGGGGTGTCTGGTCACAACCCCTACCCACAGGATCCTGGAGTGTCTGGTAACAACCCCTACCCACAGAATCCTAGGGTGCCTTGCAACAACACCTCTCCACAGGATCCTGGAGTGTGTAGTTACAATCCATCACTACTGTATCCTAGAGTGTCTGGTCACAACCCCTCCCCACAGGATCCTGGAGTGTGTAGTCACAACCCCTCCCCACAGGATCCTGGAGTGTGTAGTCACAACCCCTACCCACAGGATCCTGGAGTGTCTGGTCACAAACCCCTCCCCACAGTATACTGGAGTGTGCAGTTACAATCCCTTACTACTGTATCCTGGAGTGTGTAGTCACAACCCCTACCCACAGGATCCTGGAGTGTCTGGTCACAAACCCCTCCCCACAGTATACTGGAGTGTGCAGTTACAATCCCTTACTACTGTATCCTGGAGTGTCTGGTCACAACCCCTCCCCATAGGATCCTGGAGTGTGTAGTCACAACCCCTATCCACAGGATCCTGGAGTATCTGGTCACAATCCCTACCCACAGAATCCTAGGGTGCCTTGCCAAAACACCTTTCCACAGGATCCTGGAGTGTGTAGTTACAATCCCTCACTACTGTATCCTGGATTGTCTGGTCACAACCCCTCCCCATAGGATCCTGGAGTGTGTAGTCACAACCCCTATCCACAGGATCCTGGAGTATCTGGTCACAATCCCTACCCACAGAATCCTAGGGTGCCTTGCCAAAACACCTTTCCACAGGATCCTGGAGTATGTAGTCACAATCCCTCATTACTGTATCCTGGATTGTCTGGACCCACCCCCTCCCCACAGGATCCTAAGTTACCTCGTCCCATCCCCTCCCCTCAGGATCCTGGAGTGTTTAGTCACAATCCCTCATTATTGTATCCTGGAGTGTCTGGCCCCACCCCCTCCCCTACAGGATCATGGAGCGTCTGGCCCCACCCCTTCCCCACTGGATCCTGGAGTGTGTAGTCACAATCCCTCATTATTGTATCCTGGAGTGTCTGGTCTCACCCTCTCCCCACAGGATCCTGGAGTGTCTGGCCCCACCCCCTCCCCACTGGATCCTTGATTGTGTAGTCACAACCCCTTCCGCAGGATCCTGGAGTGTGTAGTCACAATCCCTCATTACTGTATACTGGATTGTCTGGCCCCACCCCCTCCCCACAGGATCCTAAGTTACCTCGTCCCATCCCCTCCCCTCAGGATCCTGGAGTGTTTAGTCACAATCCCTCATTATTGTATCCTGGAGTGTCTGGCCCCACCCCCTCCCCTACAGGATCATGGAGCGTCTGGCCCCACCCCTTCCCCACTGGATCCTGGAGTGTGTAGTCACAATCCCTCATTATTGTATCCTGGAGTGTCTGGTCCCACCCTCTCCCCACAGGATCCTGGAGTGTCTGGCCCCACCCCCTCCCCACTGGATCCTTGATTGTGTAGTCACAACCCCTTCCGCAGGATCCTGGAGTATTGATCCTGGAGTGTCTGGCCCCACCCCCTCCCCACAGGATCCTAAGTTACCTGGTCCCATCCCCTCCCCACAGGATCCTGGAGTGTCTGGTGACCTATGCACTCTACACTTTTTTTTTACAAATAACAATATCATGCCATGTTTATTAGGTAGTCATGTTATGTAGATAAAAGATAAATGTATCAAGTTTTTCATTTAAGAATTGACGTGATAATTTGTTAAGCATTATACGATTTTTATAAACACTTTCACCAAGTGTACATGTATAACCTAGATCTTCCAAATTACAATACGTTATGTCTGAACTTTATTCGATATGACTATTGGGCTAGCAACAGGTCTTAGTACTAATGAACACATGACCAAACATATCACGCGCCGTGTTGGCATCGCGCATAAAATCAGTGGCCTTCCGTATGACGGAACATATTAACCGGGTGCCAATATCGCAACGTCACACCGGTGGCGGCTATCGCAACGTCACACCTGTGGTATTGGTATAAATTGGTATAATAAAGACATAAACCTAAACAATAAGTTATATATAAAAAAAATATAAGTCTTTAAATAGCAGCATTATCGGAACACCTCGCTTGCTTTCATTATGTTATAAACAACAAGTACTGTATATTTCAAGCATTTTACATTGCTTCATTTTAAAGGATAAACATAACAAAAAGTTAATTAAACAAGGTTTGTACCAGAGACCTTCGATAATAGCGCAGACTAAGACCGTGATAACCGGTTTCGGTTTGCACACAGTAGAATTTATGATAAGTATCTAATAAAACCTCTTACTATGTATCGAGGTTCCGTGGTGTAGTGGTTATCACGTCTGCTTAACACGCAGAAGGTCACGAGTTCGAAACTCGTCGGAACCTGATAATTTTTTTTTTTTTTTCAAATCATGGTATTATATTGAGAGGATATGCAAGCTTAAACATTTGTCAATAAACGAAATAAACGTGTTACTTAAATATGAATAAGATAATCGTAAACTAAGTAACAATAGGAGCAATGCAAAATGTAAAGAAAATTAAAAAAAATCCACTTTACACGTGTACAACATTTTAAAAATTTTACACGTGATCAATCTTTTTCAGCAAATGAAATTCATCCGCGTTTCCAGACGGTCCTTCTGTTAGGAAATATGAAATACATCAGTGACAAGGTATTTGACAGGTAGACACATATATCTTTTGTAGCTTTGTCACCTTTAATAAGACAACGAAGGTGTGGTTTTCATTTATTCAAAAAAGGTAGAAATAAAAACCTTGTAGTACCAGCCCAAGTATATCATTAGGACTTTTGTCGGTATAATGTAACTGGGTGGGGGCTTTTGTCAGTATAATGTAACTGGGTGGGAGCTCTTGTCGGTATAATGTAACTGGATGGGGGCTATTGTCAGTATAATGTAACTGGATGGGGGCTATTGTCAGTATAATGTAACTGGGTGGGAGCTTTTGTCGGTATAATGTAACTGGGTGGGAGCTTTTGTCGGTATAATGTAACTGGGTGAGGGCTTTTGTCGGTATAATGTAACTGGGTGGGGGCTTTTGTCAGTATAATGTAACTGGGTGGGAGCTCTTGTCGGTATAATGTAACTGGGTGGGAGCTTTTGTCAGTATGATGTAACTAGGTGGGGGCTATTGTCGGTATAATGTAACTGGGTGGGGGCTATTGTCAGTATAATGTAACTGGATGGGGGCTTTTGTTGGTATAATGTAACTGGGTGGGAGCTTTTGTCGGTATAATGTAACTGGGTGGGGGCTTTTGTTGGTATAATGTAACTGGGTGGGAGCTTTTGTCGGTATAATGTAACTGGGTGAGGGCTTTTGTCGGTATATTGTAACTGGCTGAGGGCTTTTGTGAGTATATTGTAACTAGGTGGGAGCTTTTGTCGGTATAATGTAACTGGGTGGGGGCTTTTGTCGGTATAATGTAACTGGGTGGGAGCTTTTGTCGGTATAATGTAACTGGGTGGGGGCTTTTGTCGGTATAATGTAACTGGGTGGGAGCTTTTGTCGGTATAATGTAACTGGGTGGGAGCTTTTGTCGGTATAATGTAACTGGGTGGGAGCTTTTGTCGGTATAATGTAACTGGGTGGGGGCTTTTGTCGGTATAATGTAACTGGGTGGGAGCTTTTGTCGGTATAATGTAACTGGGTGGGAGCTTTTGTCGGTATAATGTAACTGGGTGAGGGCTTTTGTCGGTATATTGTAACTAGGTGGGGTCTTTTGTCGGTATAATGTAACTGGGTGGGAGCTTTTGTCGGTATAATGTAACTGGGTGAGGGCTTTTGTCGGTATATTGTAACTAGGTGGGTGCTTTTGTCGGTATAATGTAACTGGGTGGGCGCTTTTGTCGGTATAATGTAACTGGGTGGGGGCTGTTGGCAGTATGCTTCAGTGCATTAAACCAGTAAAATTGGCAAAGTCCATCATTTTGAACAACAAAATATGTTTTATTTTTGTGTTTTATCCGGTTGTTAAAGAAGTTATGATAACATTGCATGTGATGAAGTTTTCAATATGAACACGTGTTTGTAGACCCATCTTAGCATAATTATCATTTTCAATAAATGGTTTAAATACACACATGTGTACAGTGGAAATGAAATGATTTGGACATTTTCTTGTACTAAACGCAAAAATAGCACAAATGGCAAAATTTGACGGCCAGTATCTTTAATGTAAAATGTACGCTTGGTTAAGTCTGATAATTAATTAACTTTCACGTTTTACGAAGCTTAATATATACTCCAAGTGCTAATGAAATGAATTAGCCTACATTTAAAAACGCAACAAAGCCAATATCGTCCAAACAAAAATGTCTTTCAGCGATATCATGATTTCAATAGCTTTTCTATGCGATAACCGAGAGAGAATATTTTGGCAAATTTTTAAAGTTGATTTTTCACGTTGAGTGTAACACATCAGAAGACATTACACTTGTGGTTGTGATTCTCCTTACGAGGTACACGACAGAGGATGAAATGAGAACTTAACTAAAGCTTTCAGATGTGCTGTATTTCAATGTTGTAGCATACACGTACCATACAAATTGTAAATGGATGCAAGTAAGGTAAACATGTTGACAACACCGTAAGGTATAATAATATTTATTTCCCTTGTTTGATTTACCCACAAATAAGATAAATCCCTAATTCTTCACACAAAAAAACCTCTTTACTCAACAAGGTCTAAAAGCGTCCAAAGAGAATGGACTATAACAAAAGCACGCATTTTTAAGCTTCATGACGGCCCAAAAATACGCACTTACAAGCTTCAGGACGGCCCAAAAATACGCACTTCCAAGTTTCAGGATGGCCCAAAAGTACGCACTTCCAAGCTTCAGGGCAGCACAAAAGTACGCAATTCCAAGCTTCAGGGCGGCACAAACAAATGCAGTCAACTGGAGTTTCGGAATAAATCGACGAACAATTACACTGAGAAATCAATCAGTTTGAGAATAATGGTGATTTCATATGAGCTATCGGTTCTGGTGAAGTTGGATAGTGAAAAGACAATCAACAAAACATCCAGTAGATCAAACTGCTAACTGTTTGTCATCGAATCATTGTGTATACGACCATTATGCAAGAATACGCACCATTCTTTTACTAAGTAAAACAACAAATCAAAACAATTGACTATATTTCCACTGGACTAATCGGCAATATTCTTCTTTGTCAAGAGGGCGCCACTCTCGGCCAAGAATGCATGACATGGCTTGGCAGAATATCCCTTTCTGCCAGTTGTTGTCAACAAAATTCCTGGCAGCAATGTCTTCTGTGATATCGTCAGGAAGATCGTTCAGATAAGAAATCATATCCTCTCGAATTAATAAATTTGGAAAATCCCTTTTATGGTAGGCAACGAGAAGAATGATCGCACTGGAGAGTGTTTCTTTGACAGTGAAGGTAGAGAGTTTGGGACACCACCTGATGATGTTTAGTACATGTTGGTCAATCCTGTCAAAATAGCCTATGTGATCAGAGTGTCTGTACACTTGTTCACTCAGACTAAAATCCACAACCTCCTCCAGTGTATCGCCGTACTTGCTGAGTGTTCGGCTTAACTCCGCCCAGCACTTCACCCAACGGTTTTTCCGATATACGAGGGATGACAGAGGCATGTTTGCCTTGAGTAGAACCTCCTTTTCGGTCCACTCATGGAGGACGGCTAGACGGCAATGGACGCGAAGCTTCGGCCCACACTGCCGTATCTCCTTCCAGTGAAAGTTACTCAAAGCTTCGTTGTAAAAGTCTTTTGTTTTGTAGTTAGCCACAATATATAAGTGCCGGAGTGAGCATCCAGCTAAATGCTTTAGTAAACTGAAGTTCATTTGGTTTGGATTGATTGTAAGTTCCTTCAAATTCACCAAATACATTAAATTGCTCAAAGAACAACCTTTGAATGAGTTCACAATCCGTAGATTTTGTAAGTACGCTGAATGTATCAAACCAAGCGGAAGTGCTTCATTCTTCTGTCCCTGAAAGTTCACGTCGTCTATGTGAACGTTTCTAATTTTCACATTTCTTTTACAGAATTCAAAAACCGCGGTTTTAAAAGGAATCGAAAATGTCTCCCCTTCAACCCGTTTCAAGAGTATAAGAGAATTGACTTTATGGCTTGTCTGTGACAAACAATCAAACACCTCCCAAGACTGATTACCTTTCAGCTCAAGTTCTACGTTAGTGAAGAATGCACCAAATGTTCGAACACAAAACAGCAACTCCTCGTGAAACTTCCGGTACCTTTCGAAATCCTCTATAGATGCAGGCATGCCTAATGGAAACATAGAATCCCAAACGTTCCTTTCGGAATACGCAAATGACTTCCACACTTCCGGTCGGGACGACGCCCGCTGCCAATGCAGGCATATAGACCGGATGTAAATTTTACCAACAACATCCAATTGGCTGAAAACCTTACCAAGGACAACTTCTGGTAAAGTTTCCCAAGAAGCAGGCATGACTTTGATGATTTTTCTGCAATAAATTAAAAGAGACTTTAAGTTTAAACGTAATCATACATTTATTTTAATATTAACATGTAAAAGACATCTACGAAATTAACATGACCGAACTACCGAAGAAGTCTTGAACAGCGAAGGGGTGCCAACATTGGTCATTCAGTGGCCACTCCATGATAACATTAGTTTTTAATAACTTAAGTTAATATGCGACTGTTAAAAACAGCAGATTTTGTGTTGGCTCATACAAAACCTGAGATCAGGTTGGGATGGAAAATGACAATTGCATTGTTTAAGTACATTAAAACTCCATGCTGAAGGGAAAATTATAGATTCTCTGATAGATAAGTACTAAGGCCTAACTTGGAAAAAACTATTTTAGGCAGTCATACGGATCTCATCCGATATATTCTACTTTTTTTTGTATTTTCTTTTTGCGATATGATGCTGGGCGTGTTTGAAGCTTGTTCGTTTACCTTTTGGGTTTCGTTCGAATGTGCCTTGTTCTCATTTGGGAACGTGACATACATACTTGGATAGACATTGCGGGTGTCGTCCAGAGAGCAGAAGACGTTTAACCGCCCGGAACACATGGTCTTATTTTCATGGAACATTTTCTGGAATCTCTATGTGAATCTTTGCTTTGTTCATAGTTTGCCCTCTCTTATCGACTTCATGATTATTTGTTTTCGTATCTAATTAAGTAGGGCACAGTCATCGGATTTATAGGTAAATGTGACTGGCCTATTTCTATATGCAACTGTTTCAACAAATAACAAAATATCTTCTTTAACCAAACAAGACATTATTTTTACAGTATGATAACCATCGTGACCCCCATTGGCACCCCTCCAAATATGTAGATGTCTTCATTTAATTCATTGAATTCTGAATCATTTACATTTATTCCAAACAGGATAAATGGTCATTATTTTTTGTAATAGATCTCCAAATAAAAGAGTAAATTAAACAAATTAAACGGAGCTTTTCTAACAACAAGAATGAAGTTGTACACCATGCTGAACTTGACCAGTGGATGGGCATCAGTTCTAACCTGACAGTATCACTGATTAAAAGCTTACTAAAATATTCCTAAACCACGGGAAGAGATCATTACATGGAACGTTCGTCTATTCGAAGATAACATTTTCAATTCATATTACAAAGAGACAAAGAGACAAACTTTTTATTACATAACTTTATCAATAAGATAAGTTTATTTCCGGTTCAGGACTTGTGTGTATATATAATGAAGGTCCTCTATACCAGACTCAATAATACACATACAGTATTACAATGCTTGAGTATTACTTTCGTTGTTAACGGACAAGAGAACTCGTGAGTGTCAATGTGAACGAAGATGACAGGTCATCTCCCAATAAAAGTAAATATATGGCAAGAAATTCCAACAGGTGCGCGGAACTTATTTAGTAGGGTACCAATTATCACGGAGAACACAATCTTACCTTCAGTCACTTAATGTCATCCATTCATTCCCATCACTTTATGGCACACTTTGCCGGTCGTGCTAAGTTATCATGTATAACAACAACCACGGAAATCAATGTTAATATATTGTCCTACAACAAACCGAATATCACTACCTATTTCAGGCCATGTTACTAACAGTCACTTGACCATTTTCGGAACATCTCTTCCTTGTCCTTACAAAATTAGTTCGGGTGCGTTCGGACTACAACACACGTGATTATGAATAATCTTTGAAATTGTTTATTGTAAAATCTTAATAAATGTTGTTTGACAACTATCTGTAGATATAGTATTAGGATCAATGTTGTTTGACAACTATCTGTAGATATAGTATTAGGATCAATGTTGTTTGACAACTATCTGTAGATACAGTTATTATAATAAATATCGTTATATTTTGTGCCACTATTACATACATCCCGTTATGTTGCTGCTCACGCTAAACGGCTATTTAATATATATTCCAAGTGTTTTCCCAGTCTACACCGTCATATATATCATTACCAATACCAAACGTCTATTTTCCTGTGACTATTCTTATAAGCATTGAACCGTTTTATGGTTACTCGAAATACACCACAGTATTGTTACCAAGACTACAAGTATATTGTAAATCAAAGTGTAATGTTACCCGGGCTATACCGCTGTTAATTCTTAGCCCAAAAATATTGTAAATCATATAAATTAAATCAAGGATGAAAACCCAGTACTGTTGTGTTTGTGGAGAGGTTATCCTTTATGTGATATCAAAGGAGAAGGCCCGAGGTTTGAGGCTCGACGCTCCGTGTTCGTGATGGTTTGTGTTTCTCAGTAAGCTGAGAAACGGACCGGTGTTTGCTGACGTAGTTGTGTCCTTGGGTAAGACACCTTGTCCTTATTGCACTGGATGGCATCTTAACGGGCCTCTCATATATTGTTCATTGAGGTAGTCAGCATCTCCTAAAAGTAGACCCCATTTCAAAATAACCCCGGCTGTTCAGTGGGCGATAACCCAGCATAATAAAAAAAATAGCTTTGGCGGCAAAATCTTTGTCAAATACATTAATAATTCTACGAAATCAATCAGGTTATTGTAAAAAATAAATACGTTAGAATTTTCTTCTTAAGATTTTCCTATAATCTTTAAGACTGCCACTATCTTATATCACTGATCCCTTCGATGTGCCGTTACTGTCAATAAAACAGCATGTCTGAATGAATCAACAATATAATTCTTTGGCTTTTTATGCTTGTTAAGAAATGTATATAAAATGTATGTACATCGCATTTACATTTAACCAGCAAATTAACCAAGCAAAAATACATTCTGACAGGTTATGTCCACATATAAAGCCGTTGTAACCTATCATGTCTCTAGTATTACTAAACATAAAAACGCAGATTAATTGGTATTTCAAAGTATTGATCAGTATTGTGCTTGCTCTTAGAAAGTGTCTTTTTTTAATAACAATAATCTTTTCCCATTATTTTCAAACTATAGGCGTATATGTTCGACACAGTGCATATCATGCCAATACATCATAGTAAAACAGATCATTTCATTAAGCAACTTTGTGTTTTTACAGGGACCTGGTTTTTTTTATCAAACTGTGTAAATATTATTGTTCATTGTAATGCAAACTGGACTTCGTCGATAATCGGCGACCAGGCAGCGCAACTAGTAGGACGGATAGTTCCCCAGGTTCGAACCCCGTTAACACTGTGCGTTGTATTTGGTGCTTGTGACCCATCCCTGGTTTCCAATCTTATTACGCAAACTTTAACATTTAAAAACGATTGTAGCTTTTATTATTCCTCATTTTGATATTTTAATGATAATAACAATAATATACTGGACGCAGGCTTATTAGGCCTATACATCGAGATCAGAGTTTAAAGGTATTTGTGTCCCGAAAATGGATCAGTGTGTTATTGTTATTTTAACCATATTCTGAAAAATACCTTGATCTTAATTCTAACAATATAGAGAAACCAACGTTTTTCTTGAAATAGTTTTAATTCGGAAACATATTCTACTTCAAATTGAAATATAATAGCAACCTTTGTGTAGTGTGCATCGAATGCGACTCATAAGCAGGGAAACATGTTGCCATATCACCGTTTCCGGTATGCGTACAAACTTTGCGTGATCGTCGGTCTGGGATTGTGGGATAGTGCATTCCATGCAAAGCTTCACAACACTGGATGTTGTGAAAACTAACCATAGGTATGTATTATATATTTCAGCTGAAAGCGAACACGACAGTGTTGCTATTCAGGTTTTGAAATTAATGATGAACTGATGACTACATTTGAAATATAGATTTGAGTCCTAAATGTCATTTAAAATGAAGCAGTTATGCAGAACACATGCTTTTGACAGATCCTTCAAATCACGGGGGTTGTTTAGATGAGTTTAAAAATTATCAAATGAGTATGTTTGGGGTTGATTCTACAGACTATAATTACTATATTGATAATTTTGATATAATACAATGTTATCTCTATACGGTAGATTTGTTCTCTGCGGTTAATTTGTTAGTACATTACCTAGGCACCTAGCATGTGCCCTTCGCACAGAACTCGTCTGTTCTAGAAGGCATGCTATTGATGGAACATCTCTGGGTCCTTCTTGGGAGAAACTAGAAATTTAATGATGCTGTGCTTGTGTCAAACGATACTCTACGTTAAAATTATATACATGATGAACGGCTGTGATAATTATGAGTTAGTTTTCTGATATTGGAATTAATATCTGTGTGCACTCGGTTATGGATTAATTTAATTTACATATCTGTACTTCTGTCACTTAGTTTTCAAACAACTTTGCCATCCTAGACATTCTAGACTAGATGAGACATTTGACATCTTGATGTTGTTTGTTTCATTGGGTTGAAAAAGACGGTTGGTTTTTCGTACTTCCCTATATTATCTAACCACTTTCAACAGACTGAAGATTTTGCCACATGGGTGATAGAGCCTTGCAGTAAAGGACAGGCCTCTAAAACGAGTGAATATTTAATATGAATATATATGGTTAGAGGGTACAGACCCTTTGCTTGGAGAAAGCCCTACTGGTTTGGTTTGCTCAAGCCATACCACTGTAACACCAATCCATCTTTTGTTTTGACATGTAAAATAGATATCAAAAGTGGATTTGGAAATATCAGCACTGCTCTAGTTGCTAGGGGTTGGTGGGTTCTCTGCTAACAAGGTCTTCTTAGACTGCACAACATGTACATGTATACACACATATCAAGCTGTTTTGTTTTCAGAATTAACAGTTCAAGGTTCAGGTAGAAATTATGGTATGCCTCAAAATACCTTTGGGATCTTCAATGTATTAGTAATAGGAAATGTGTCTGGATGATCTGTACCATAAGGAACTTGTGCATGTTTTAACTATGATAAGAAAAATATTATAGTTTGAATATGTTCCACTCATTCAAACAAAAAAAAAAGTAAAAATAACCTATTTCTCACTTCCTTGTAAATATTGACAGGTGTACCATACAATGTGTTTGTGTCACAAGCTCAGTCCCCTAATTCAGACAATAAATAATCATGACATTGTTACATCATATTTTGTATGTATAGAAACATTCACTGATCATTTGATTTGTTTCTGCTGGAATCAGAATACTTTTTCATCTGAGGAGGAATTGTGAGTAATGAAATTATACGTCAGCTGTTGTATTCCAGCCCAAATATTTACTATACATTACATTGTGTATGTAATATAGCCGTTATTTTAATTAGAACACCTTTCAGTTTTAAAAAAATCTTTGATATAGCAATCCATAATTAATTGTCCACAAATTGGAGGTCATAAAATAAACCTGGAAATCCTATTTTTATTTTCTATATATATGTTTTTCCAGCCAATACATTAAGATGAAAGCTGGAAAGGATTTATCCTTGGACAGTTCCTAGGTTGTCACCTATAATGAATGGTCATGATATAACATCAGAAAATTCAATGCATTTAGCCAATTGCTGTTAACACATGGTTATATACTGAATATATTATTGAAACTTTCCAGTAAAGTGTTTTAAAGATATTTAATAACTTATTAAGTGTGTAGGACACGATCACATCATCAATATTCTATGTGTTATTCTGTCTAACAATGAATGACCCCATGAAGGATTCAGTAATCATAAGATGCTGAATTTGTAATAAAAAATCTGTGCAGTGTTGATACTATTGCGACTTTGACACTTCCTTTTTTAACTAAGTTCAAAATAACACCCAGGTTTTCCTTTTTTCTGAGATCATATTTTTTGCTTTATTGAATTCACAATTATTTATTAGAAATAAGTATCCCAGTCCATCATATCTAATTATTATATTCTTTGTCTTAATGAGTATTATGAATGTATTTACTGTATTACCTACTTATGTTATTTATACAGGTGATGTAAACTAAATATACAACATGTACTACTCTCATAATCTTATATTTGGGTCAGTTCACATGAATCTATGTCACTTATAGTATTTGTTTCTGTTAATCCTGAGTGTCAGACCTGCAGATCACTTAACATCTTACAAGAATACAGAACAAGTGGTCCTGCTTCCTTTCATGCTGAAAAATATATTGATATTTCAATGTTTCCAGTTACATGCCTGTTGCTAGTAATTGACAACATTTGATACAGACATCACATTGACACTTGAGTCTGTGTATAAAGACAGAAGAAATGAACTTGTAATCTTTATTTGTTTTAATTTTGTATGTATCACAGAAGTTTCGTTATGACTTGTATTAATATTTTATTTGATGATGATGAAATGTCTGTGTTCCAGTCTACACATCCTGTTATGAATCGTATGAACATGATGGAACAGGTCCATCTTGCCGGTGAAGATGAGGAGGATATCTACTCCGGGTTTAATGACTACAATGCCACTTTGGACACAGAGGTCAGTATTACAATGTCACTTCAGACACAGAGGTCAGTATCACAATGCCACTTTGGACACAGAGATCAGTATTACAATGTCACTTCAGACACAGAGGTCAGTATCACAATGGCACTTTGGACACAGAGGTCAGTATTACAATGTCACTTCAGACACAGAGGTCAGTATCACAATGCCACTTTGGACACAGAGGTCAGTATTACAATGCCACTTTGGACGCAGAGGTCAGTATTGTAATGTCACCTTAAGACACAGAGGTCAGTATTGTAATGTCACCTTAAGACACAGAGGTCAGTATTGTAATGTCACCTTAAGACACAGAGATCAGTATCACAATTTCACCTTAGACACAGAGGTCAGTATCACAATGTCACCTTAAAAACAGTGGTCAGTATTACAATGTCACTTCAGACACAGAGGTCAGTATCACAATGCCAGTTTGGACACAGAGGTCAGTATTACAATGTCACTTCAGACACAGAGGTCAGTATCACAATGCCACTTTGGACACAGAGGTCAGTATTACAATGCCACTTTGGATGCAGAGGTCAGTATTGTAATGTCACCTTAAGACACAGAGGTCAGTATTGTAATGTCACCTTAAGACACAGAGATCAGTATCACAATTTCACCTTAGACACAGAGGTCAGTATCACAATGTCACCTTAAAAACAGTGGTCAGTATTACAATGTCACTTCAGACACAGAGGTCAGTATCACAATGCCAGTTTGGACACAGAGGTCAGTATTACAATGTCACTTCAGACACAGAGGTCAGTATCACAATGCCACTTTGGACACAGAGGTCAGTATTACAATGCCACTTTGGACGCAGAGGTCAGTATTGTAATGTCACCTTAAGACACAGAGGTCAGTATTGTAATGTCACCTTAAGACACAGAGATCAGTATCACAATGTCACCTTAGACACAGAGGTCAGTATCACAATGTCACCTTAAAAACAGTGGTCAGTATTACAATGTCACCTTAGACACAGAGGTCAGTATTACAATGTCACCTTAGACACAGAGGTCAGTATCACAATGTCACCTTAGAAACAGTGATCAGTATATCACAATAAGTACATCTTGTCATAAAAAACCTTCCTTATAGATTTTTTTCATTTCAGAATATTTTATTGTACGGATCGTATGTACAAAAGGAATTGGGCAACAGGCAAAGCCTATATTAGCCCTCTCCTTAAAAAATATAACAGTAATTACATGCACATTACATATGAATATAGCTTGAACATAATCTTCTTGTATTATTACATAACTTAGATAGAAGATTATTTGTACTATTGAGTGAACTTCAATGGACAAGAAACATTCTAATGATCAGAATTAATGTAATACTAAGCTAATTTAGAGTTCAGAAAAATCTTTTGGTGTCTCTGATGTATTTCTGATCCTTATAGATTGAGTTACAAACCTTCCTTATAGACTGAGTTACAAACCTTCCTTATAGACTGAGTTACAAACCTTCCTTATAGACTGAGTTACAAACCTTCCTTATAGACTGAGTTACAAACCTTCCTTATAGACTGAGTTACAAACCTTCCTTATAGACTGAGTTACAAACCTTCCTTATAGACTGAGTTACAAACCTTCCTTATAGACTGAGTAGACTGAGTTACAAACCTTCCTTAGAGACTGAGTTACAAACCTTCCTTATAGACTGAGTTACAAACCTTCCTTATAGACTGAGTGACAAACCTTCCTTATAGACTGAGTTACAAACCTTCCTTATAGATTGAGTTACAAACCTTCCTTATAGACTGAGTGACAAACCTTCCTTATAGACTGAGTGACAAACCTTCCTTATAGACTGAGTTACAAACCTTCCTTATAGATTGAGTTACAAACCTTCCTTATAGACTGAGTTACAAACCTTCCTTATAGACTGAGTGACAAACCTTCCTTATAGACTGAGTTACAAACCTTCCTTATAGAATAGACTGAGTGACAAACCTTCCTTATAGACTGAGTTACAAACCTTCCTTATAGACTGAGTGACAAACCTTCTTTGCAGATTGAGTTTAAAAAATCTACTTGACTTATCAATATTTGTATAAAAGTAAATATGAAATAAATTTCACAGCCTTCTGACATAGTGTTTAAATTGTGAGCTTGATAATCTTGCCACTAACTCTTCATCACCTTTGTATGTTTAAGGATCTACAACATGACCCGACATTCCAGAAGGCAGTGATGAGGACGAGTCATGGTCGACGACCCCCACCAGTAAGTCAAAAGTAGTTTGACAAGGCACGCTAATGATGTCTTCTGATCTAATATCGTAAATGTGTGTAAAATTTGATGAACCTTTATATTTAGTTTTATGAATATTCATATTGTTGATAGTTACTTGTTATCAATACCTACTTTTTGATTAAACATGTATCTGTATATGATAAATGAAAACAAATGTGTACTGCAGTTGAAGTAAATTGTTTATTTTAAATGAAGTTAGAAGGGGTTACATATTGAATGCAGCTGACATTTGATCATTATGATTATCCATCAGTGTTTGTGTTGATGATGTTTACATTAAGAATTTTTTGGGTTTCCAACTGCTCTTTTGTCCTATCAATATCCTATCCTGCTCATGGACAACAGTAGGGTTACTGGTTACCCTGTGGAGTACACACAGAGGGATGTTTACATGAAATGTATAAGAGTATTTGACCTACTGTTTATTCTGTTTGGTAGCAAATCAACCGTGTGAAACTGACCCAGGTATGACCTATGTTAAAACTGTTATTCTCAGGATAACCTGTTCACTGATTCGTTATTGAAAATTTGTGAGTTTTGTTTTAGTTATCATGTGCATGATATTTACTTGTTGTTTGATATTATTTCACTCCTTTCAGAAGGTTAAGTTGTATTTTAAACATATGAGTATCAATCATCATTTTCATTGATAGCTGGACGTTAAATAAGTACATGATACATTTTCTCCTTGAGAGGTAATGTTTAAAGATGTCATAGCTATTGTAACCCTGGTACGTAGTAGCCACATTATACTGCTCAGCATTTCTTTATCTTGATCGCTTGAGCGTCCGACTAGAAAGCAAGAGCTTCCAGGTTCAAATCATAGTGGAGGCATGAAATAAATAATGATTATTAGAATTAGAAATACACAGACATCTAGTTTTGGGTTGAAATAATGGGTATTATTTTTTTTCACATTACAGACAGCTTCTCGAGGTCTAGCTGTAGGAGGTGCTGGAGCTGGAGCAAGGCTTGGAACAGCAGCACGAGGCCGTGCAGGAATACCATCATCGATGGGGCGTCTTCAGACTGGGGCAGTGGCTGCTGGAGGCACTGACATGGCCAGACCCATGACAGCAGTCCGAGCAGCTGGTTACACTTCAGTTGGGAATAGAGGGGCAGGGTTTGACCCCATGAACCAAGGGAATAAGGGTCCTGCACCTCCTCTGGAACCTAAGCCAGAAGACAGGTGAGGCAAACACATACATACATATAGACACAAAGGTTCAGTAAAAGTGGAAGTTTCAATAGACTAGGGAATATAGAGCCTGTTTACTAGTGAAAATTTGATTGGTATTATTTACAATACAAAACATCAAGCACAGCATTGGTCAATTATACATAAACATGACATTATAGGGAGTCAATATAGTTTTACCTAATACTGTTAATGGGCCTTACACATGGAAAAATAATTCTATTTCTAATCAAAGGAATGTTTATGAAATTATTTCATTATGTAAGTGGTTAAGATTAATTGTGAAATAAACCTGAAACCTTTGGTTACAGTCCTGAGGAGAAGATCAGACAACTGGAAAAGAAGGTGAACACATTGATTGAAGAGAGCTGCTTTGCCAATAGTCGCGGAGAATTTAGTCTGGTAAGTGGTGAGGATGATGATCTAGCAGAATTCTTAAAAAATGATAAACAGTTTTGGACTGGTAATATAGTCAAACAAACATACTGTCGGTGTTTACTTTGGAAAATTATTATAATAACAATAATTAATAGCTGGCAGGTAGCTATGGTAAGGTCAACAGTTGGAATATGACTTGGAAGACAGCCTATCAGGTATTACAAGATTTATGAAGATGTAGAATGGCTTTGATAACAAAAAATGTCTAAACAACTGTAAGTTAAAACTTCTTTTTGCTTTCAGGGTCTGGAAAAGGCAAAGGAAGCAGGGAGGAAAGAAAGAGTCCTGGTCCGTCAGCGAGAACAACAGTCCATGGGGGACCAAATCAATCTAGATCTGACCTACTCAGTAAGTTGTGATTGGTAGAGGAATCCTCAGTATTTCAGAACTACATCAGTGTGATAATCTCCTTAACACTTTACATGGAATAAGAGTGTAATTCTTTCATGGAGTTTTTTTAAATACCAGTAATGTGACATTTCACCATGAAGTTGTTAATTGATGGATTCACTTTATTTTGTTGACACAACAAAGACATAGAAATGGAAGAGAAAATTTAAACTTGTTAGAATTTTAAACACACCAGACATTTTGTTGGATGCGACATCGATGTAAGACAGAGTATTTGTACAGTATATATTGTGGTATGTTGTGCTCACTACAATTTTATCTGTACACAGGTTCTCTTTAACCTCGCCAACCAGTATGCTGCAAATGAAATGTTCAATGAAGCCCTCAACACTTACCAAGTCATCGTCAAAAACAAAATGTTCAGCAATGCTGGTATGTTACAGGGAATACCCCTGGAGGAAATCTAAGTTTGTTTTAGATGAAATAGCCAACATCAGATAAAGCTAGTAACAACAGAGTCATTATATTTACAGTCAGTGCTCATACTAACTATAAACTAGAAAAGAAATTGTGGAGAAACTACAACATTCTGATATAGGTTTTCAGATTTTGTATAAAAAAAGTCTCACCGTTTCAGAAATCAAACAGAATGCAGATAGATGGAATTTCAACAGTAACATAATGAACTTTATCCAATACAGGTCGTTTAAAGGTGAACATGGGCAATATCTACTTCAGACAGAGAAACTTCCCCAAGGCTATTAAACACTACCGAATGGCTCTTGATCAGGTGCCAAACTCTCACAAAGAGATGAGGTCAGTAGAGTAACCAATCAGGGCTGTTTACCCATTCTCTGACACTAAACAGTGAAAGCTGTTAAACGGCTGATATTTGTAAACATATAGAACATAACCATATTGTACTATTTATAGAACATGACATTTTATACTTTTATTTTCAAATGTACAAGTGAGATTTGTAATGATATCATTAAAACCAAAACTCTGTGAGGGGTATGTGTAAAGTAATATAGTGATCACAGCATCATGTAATACTCCACTGTTGATTGACTTTCATTATCGTACACATTGTTATGGTCTAGAAGTGATAAGATATTAGTGTGATTTGTGTAATGTTGACCTCTACAGGACTAAGATCATGCAGAACATCGGAATTGTGTTTGTAAAGATGGGTCAGTACACTGATGCCATCACATCATTTGAGCACATCATGTCTGAGGCTCCAAGCTTTAAGACCGGGTTTAACCTGATCCTCTGTTACTTTGCCTTGGGAGACCGGGAGAAGATGAAGAGAGCCTTCAACAAGCTCCTTACTGTTGATCTCAAGGTGGATGACGAGGATAAGTACCTCCCTCATGGTGTAAGTTTCCTGTCTGCATTATTAAAGTACTACTTTGTTTGTTGTGTAAACAGCTTAGATAAATCCCATCAAAGAAGGTCTTTTAGTCTCTGAAACAATAGCAGTACTACGAGGTGAAATATAGATCTGTAGTTGATCTGCTGGAGTGTCAATCTTCCAGAGAATGTCTCCTCTACAACATCACATTGACTGGGGATAGGCTAATGCTATGTATTAAAAGGGTTTTATTTACCAATGTCACATTAACTGGGGATAGGCTTATGCCAGGTACTAAAAGGGTTTTATTTACCAACGTCACATTGACTGGGGATAGGCTAATGCTAGGTACTAAAAGGGTTTTATTTACCAACGTCACATTGACTGGGGATAGGCTAATGCTAGGTACTAAAAGGGTTTTATTTACCTATATGTTCATTATTGTATTAAAAGTTTGTCTGAAGGATGAAGACTAGGGATTGTCTTGTTGATATGGTCTAACAGCAAAAGTCTATAGATGACATTGATTTTTATCTGTATCTGTTATATAACCGTAAAAACAGATTTGATATTATGACACAGTAAAGCGTAACTGCTGTTATGTTACTGTAGACACAAGTTTGATATTATGACACAGTAAAGGGTTTGAGGTTTTACTTCAGGATACTTCTAACAGTCAAGAGTTCTGCTGCCAAATCAGAGGAAAGCTTGAGAAGAATTTTTTCATAAAGGCATTAATTCAATGTGCTTCATTATAATGGTTGAATTCAAAAGTTTTGTTAGTGAGAATTTAAGACATACTCTGAAATTTACTAGGATTCAGAAAGTGCACTAGTATTGAAATGTGTCATTTTCAGGAAGACAAGCACTACAATCTAATACTGGAGGTGATCAAGAACGACCCTCTGCGGCAGATAGAGAGACAAAGGTATGTCACTTAGTGTCAGGAAATTATAGAGACACAAATGTATGTCACTTAGTGTCAGGAAACCTATAGGAAACTATAGAGACACAAAGGTATTTCACTTAGTGTCAGGAAACTATAGAGACACAAAGGTATGTCACTTAGTGTCAGGAAACTATAGAGACACAAATGTATGTCACTTAGTGTCAGGAAACCTACAGGAAACTATAGAGACACAAAGGTATTTCACTTAGTGTCAGGAAACTATAGAGACACAAAGGTATGTCACTAAGTGTCAGGAAACTATAGAGACACAAAGGAATGTCACTTAGTGTCAGGAAACCTACAGGAAACTATAGAGAGACAAAGGTATGTCACTAAGAGTCAGGAAACTATAGAGACACAAAGGTATGTCACTTAGTGTCAGGAAACCTACAGGAAACTATAGAGACACAAAGGTATGTCACTTAGTGTCAGGAAACCTACAGGAAACTATAGAGACACAAAGGTATGTCACTTAGTGTCAGGAAACCTACAGGAAACTATAGAGACACAAAGGTATGTCACTTAGAGTTACTATGTTTCTGAGGGTTATTGATATAGTTATACATACAGTCAGATGTTACTATGTTTCTGAGGGTTATTGATATAGTTGTACATACAGTCAGATGTTACTATGTTTCTGAGGGTTATTGATATAGTTGCACATACAGTCAGATGTTAATATGTTTCTGAGGGTTATTGATATAGTTGTACATACAGTCAGATGTTACTATGTTTCTGAGGGTTATTGATATAGTTGCACATACAGTCAGATGTTAATATGTTTCTGAGGGTTATTGATATAGTTGTACATACAGTCAGATGTTACTATGTTTCTGAGGGTAAATATCAGGATAAAACTGTGGTACTCCAGAACTTTTGCTGCCCAGTAAACTGTCCTTCCAACATATGATTTCTTTTCCTGTGAGTCTGATCTCTTATCATATTTTATTCATCAGTTTGTCATCAGTCATTTTAAAAATGATAAGTCATTATCTTCACTGTAGAACTGAGGAGAAATTCTATTCTACAAAGATGAGACTATCTTCTATCACTTCACCATCAGGGAAATGAAGGATAGAGCAAAAACAACTGGCAGCATATATAACTTCATGTAATTCTGCTTGTTGGGACATTAGCAAATACACAGCAAGCTATCAATATTTTCCAAGATGTGAATCTGTATCAACTCTCCGGGGAGGTCACCACCCTTTAACCATAAATCAACCTTTTAGGAAAGACTACTTTAAAATGAAAATGTTCAATTTCGTTTTTTTTTTTTCTTTAGGAAGTATGAGGCAGAAAACTGTATCAAAACAGCAGCCAAGATAATTGCTCCTGCCATAGAAACCTCATTTGCCTCTGGATATGACTGGTAAGCTGGTTAAAATCAATTGTAGAATTGGGATAACATGGCTGCAAGCCCTGTCTTATCTACTTCTGAGCTCTGCCCTGTAGTTGTGGAAGACCTTATGAAAATTCTCTCTCTACTTATGTGATATTTGTTTTGTTTTCTGTACAGTTTCTATTGTTTTCATTTTTGTTGTTTATTGTGTACAGTTGTTGACATGAATTTTGATGGGGTGGGTTTTTGTTACAGGTGTGTGGAGCAGGTGAAGACTTCCCAGTACGTTGATTTAGCCCATGATCTGGAGATAGACAAAGCCATCATGTACCTAAAACAGAAGGACTTCAACTTGGTAATGTCACACCAATATTGGTTATTAAGGATTTACATTGTGTTTTATTTTACTAATGTGTTAACAACTAGTTAATAGAAAAATGAAAATTGCATTGCTTTCATGCTCATCATGAAACCATATTGTGATCACTAATGCAGATACTTTGACAAAAAGTATATTTTGGATATGAAGAAAGTTAAGTAAATGTAATTGTATAAGTCATTGTAGCCAGAAATCTGGCTTCAGTAAGCAGCTAGTCCCTCTGTTGTATGTGATATCAATGATGTCACTGACAGCCTTATATCTTGGTCCACATTCGGGTTAGGTATATGGCAGTATTCACTATGGTAATTAGTTATATAATGTATGATAATCTTTCATACCTGTTAAGTATTTTTTTGGATGACAATATGTCACACGATACATCAACAATACCAGTAAGTTCTGTTGATGTAAATGTCTCAGTAATTTGTATATTACAGGCCATTGAAACATTGAAATCATTTGAGAAAAAAGATTCCAAAGTGGCCAGTACAGCAGCCACCAACCTGTCCTTCCTTTACTTCCTGGTAAGTATAACTAGACCACAGCCACCTTGTGCCACACCCACCTCTAGTGAGCCACTCACAAGGGCCTACACCCAGAAGCTTGCCCACTTTGAATATGCGTTATTATCATAGCAGGTGTCAACTTCCAGTATACATTACTTGTTTTAATACATATTAAACTTATCAAATCCTTCGCCTACCTGCCTGCCCCACCTAATCTCATTATAACAGACAAGTCCCTGGTCAGCCATCAATGTTCCGTCCCTGGTCAGCCATCAATGTCCCTCTGTGACACTTGTAGTTGATCAATACTTGTAATGTGCTTTCGTCTAACAACATTGTATGATCACTTGCTGATACATTTGCTTGATGGTAATTTTCCTTATACTGATATATATATATGTATACCGTAAGATTAATTTATATTGTGGGTCCTCTCTTAATCCATGAGGTCTTATGTCCACAAACTGTAAATTAGAGTAAGAAGACTTACTGAGGGGTATTTACACACGAAATCAAATGTCCATGAAATAAGAATTTTTCTAAAACCCCAAGAATTGAGCACCACGGAAGATATAAGACTTTATGGTAGTCAACTCATCATAGCCATGAACTAACCACATTTTAAACATTGTATTGTTTGTTTATGTCAATAACACAAAGACCCATCAGATTGGTTTGTTTTATAGGATGAACTTCTTGTATCTAACAGAACAGTACTTGAGAAGGAAATATATATCATGACATCAGATATAAATGTTTGACAGCTGTTGTACTGTAAACCAACTGACTGTTTAGAATATAACAAAATCATTCAGAAAAGTCAATCACCACAAATTGACGCCTGGAGAATAAACAAAGAGTAAAGTATTTGGTGACAGTGAATCATGTAAAGTTGGTTTACAGTAAAGTCATTTAAGGATAAACTTTTGTGTGATGATAAACTATGTCACTGAATGCAAGCATTTGACTATATCACACCTGATTTGTAATGCGTTTCTTTCCTTTTTTGAACAATGGCGTGTTCAGCATGGAGAGGTATATTTACAATAGCACTTTCTTTTATTCTTTTATTTTATTCTTTCTTTTATTTTTTGCTGAATGTTAATTTTTTGTTATTATTGATTTGCTATATGTAATGGCTTGTTACTCTGAGCTATTTTAGAGAGGAATATCTGACCATTTTGTTATGTGATCAATGCAGGAAAGTTTGTTTTGAGAAAGAATCTTTATGAAATGAAATGGTTATTTTTACAAAATATTCAAGTTGATGGGTTTTATGTATCATACAGAAATAAAATGTTGTTTTTGAGGCTATATATCGTTAATTAAGATATAGGATGAAGGGGATCCTTAAATGTTAATTGCTAATAGAATATCCCTATCTTGGTTTTGATTGGTTCCTAGTCTTTTCTTACTGACCGTAGAAAGACATCTTTAAACAACAGTATCTTATATCCTATGTAAAGCAAAAATTCTATCTGCACAAATTTTAGTTAGTGTGATTTGAAGATGGTGGTGGGTAAACTCTTCATAATCATTTCAATTTTCTCTCTCAGTTGGCAATGTGGTCTGGTCAGTTAGCTGGTAACAAGGTTTAGTTTGGTCAGTCGATAAGCTTGGGTTGGTTAGTCAACAGCAAATTTTGGTTGGTCAGTCTGCAGTAAGGTTTGGGTTTGTCAGACTAGACTTAGGTTAGGGTTGGTCTGTCAGCAGCAAGCTTAGAGTTGGTCAGTCTGAAGTAAGGTTTGGGTTGGTCATTCCATAGTAAGGATTTGGGTTGGTCAGACCACTGTAAGGTTTTAGTTGGTCATTCCATAGTAAGGATTTGGGTTGGTCAGACCACTGTAAGGTTTTAGTTGGTCATTCCATAGTAAGGGTTTGGGTTGGTCAGACCACTGTAAGGTTTTAGTTGGTCATTCCATAGTAAGGGTTTGGGTTGGTCAGACTACTGTAAGGTTTTGGTTGGTCATTCCACAGTAAAGTTTGGGTTGGTCATTCCATAGTAAGGGTTTGGGTTGGTCAGACTACTGTAAGGTTTTGGTTGGTCATTCCACAGTAAAGTTTGGGTTGGTCATTCCATAGTAAGGATTTAGGTTGGTCAGACTACTGTAAGGTTTTGGTTGGTCATTCCACAGTAAGGATTTAGGTTGGTCAGACCACTGTAAGGTTTTAGTTGGTCAGTTCACATTAGTCTCGGTTCGGTCAGTCAGCAGTAATAGTAAGCAGTTGTTAGTGAGTGCAGTTGGTCAGTCTAGTGGTCAAGTCAGTTTGACTTTGGATGTTATTCCTTGTATGTCAGGGAATGGTTTATATCTGACCTCCATAGTCTGCCTGAACTCCATACCAGAATAGGCATGTGGACATCACAATAAAGCTGCTGTGTCTAAATAAAAATGGATTTGGGGATGATGAGAGAAATTTCAGGAAATATTCAGATATTAGGAGTTTTTTAGAGAACTATTTTCTTAGAGAAATTGAGTTTAGGAACAAGCTAAGATGTCAGAGTGTTAATGTATACAGGGACAAGCTAAGACGTCAGAGTGTAAATGTATACAGGGACAGGCTAAGATGTCAGAGTGTTAATGTATACAGGGACAAGCTAAGATGTCAGATTGTTAATGTATACAGGGACAAGCTAAGATGTCAGAGTGTTAATGTATACAGGGACAGGCTAAGATGTCAGAGTGTTAATGTATACAGGGACAAGCTAAGATGTCAGAGTGTTAATGTATACAGGGACAAGCTAAGATGTCAGAGTGTTAATGTATACAGGGACAAGCTAAGATGTCAGATTGTTAATGTATACAGGGACAAGCTAAGATGTCAGATTGTTAATGTATACAGGGACAAGCTAAGATGTCACAGTGATAATGTATACAGGGACAAGCTAAGATGTCAGATTGTTCATGTATACAGGGACAAGCTAAGATGTCAGAGTGTTAATGTATACAGGGACAAGCTAAGATGTCAGATTGTTCATGTATACAGGGACAAGCTAAGATGTCACAGTGTTAATGTATACAGGGACAAGCTAAGATGTCAGATTGTTCATGTATACAGGGACAAGCTAAGATGTCAGAGTGTTAATGTATACAGGGACAGGCTAAGATGTCACAGTGATAATGTATACAGGGACAAGCTAAGATGTCAGAGTGTTAATGTATACAGGGACAGGCTAAGATGTCAGAGTGTTAATGTATACAGGGACAAGCTAAGATGTCAGAGTGTTAATGTATACAGGGACAGGCTAAGATGTCAGAGTGTTAATGTATACAGGGACAGGCTAAGATGTCAGAGTGTTAATGTATACAGGGACAAGCTAAGATGTCAGAGTGTTAATGTATACAGGGACAAGCTAAGATGTCACAGTGATAATGTATACAGGGACAAGCTAAGATGTCACAGTGTTAATGTATACAGGGACAAGCTAAGATGTCAGATTGTTAATGTATACAGGGACAAGCTAAGATGTCAGAGTGTTAATGTATACAGGGACAGGCTAAGATGTCAGAGTGTTGATGTATACAGGGACAGGCTAAGATGTCAGAGTGTTAATGTATACAGGGACAAGCTAAGATGTCAGAGTGTTAATGTATACAGGGACAAGCTAAGATGTCAGATTGTTAATGTATACAGGGACAAGCTAAGATGTCACAGTGTTAATGTATACACGTGTGTAATTAAATAAACAGGAAGATATTTAACTTTGTGTGTCTGTAATGCTGTAGGTAGATTTAAATCATAAACAATAAATATAAAGATTTCTATACAACATCAAACTTGTTCATAAGAATTATTTCATAAGGTCAACATTTCATGTGTCATTGTCATACAATCATGTGTAACTTTGGGATCATTTTAGTTACAAATTTACCTGTCTAATGTTTCATGTACTAATGTGTTAGTCAAACCTGCCTATAAAGGCCACTATAGTGAACAGAGGAAGATGACCTTTGTATAAAGGTCTATATATCGTGTATTGTATAATGTTGTGACCAGAGAAACATGGCCTTTATAGACAGGTATCTAAAGGTTGGATTACTCCTTAACTACTATTTTGTAATTAAATTCTATAAAATGATGCTATTTTCAATCGTTTATGATGTTTGTTGCCATATGTATGTGTTTATCCATTCATGTTGACTAGTATCATTTGTAAACTTTCTCTGCATGTTATTGTAAATATATATATATCAATTATGTTAGACCTTTATCTTATAATCTATGATATCAAGTTTTACAACCAAAGCAGGTTTGATGATAACCCTATCATACAACCAAAGTAGGTTTGATGATAACCCTATATTACAACCAAAGCAGGTTTGATGATAACCCTATCATACAATCAAAGCAGGTTTGATGATAACCCTATCATACAATCAAAGCAGGTTTGATGATAACCCTATCTTACAACCAAAGTAGGTTTGATGATAACCCTATCATACAACCAAAGCAGGTTTGATGATAACCCTATCATACAACCAAAGTAGGTTTGATGATAACCCTATCATACAACCAAAGCAGGTTTGATGATAACCCTATCTTACAACCAAAGTAGGTTTGATGATAACCCTATCTTACAACCAAAGTAGGTTTGATGATAACCCTATATTACAACCAAAGCAGGTTTGATAATAACCCTATCATACAACCAAAGCAGGTTTGATGATAACCCTATCTTACAACCAAAGTAGGTTTGATGATAACCCTATCATACAACCAAAGCAGGTTTGATGATAACCCTATCTTACAACCAAAGTAGGTTTGATGATAACCCTATCATACAACCAAAGCAGGTTTGATGATAACCCTATCTTACAACCAAAGTAGGTTTGATGATAACCCTATCTTACAACCAAAGTAGGTTTGATGATAACCCTATATTACAACCAAAGCAGGTTTGATAATAACCCTATCATACAACCAAAGTAGGTTTGATGATAACCCTATCTTACAACCAAAGTAGGTTTGATGATAACCCTATCATACAACCAAAGCAGGTTTGATGATAACCCTATCTTACAACCAAAGTAGGTTTGATGATAACCCTATCATACAACCAAAGCAGGTTTGATGATAACCCTATCTTACAACCAAAGTAGGTTTGATGATAACCCTATCATACAACCAAAGCAGGTTTGATGATAACCCTATCTTACAACCAAAGTAGGTTTGATGATAACCCTATCTTACAACCAAAGTAGGTTTGATGATAACCCTATATTACAACCAAAGCAGGTTTGATAATAACCCTATCTTACAACCAAAGTAGGTTTGATGATAACCCTATCATACAACCAAAGCAGGTTTGATGATAACCCTATCATACAACCAAAGCAGGTTTGATAATAACCCTATATTACAACCAAAGCAGGTTTGATGATAACCCTATCATACAACCAAAGCAGGTTTGATGATAACCCTATCATACAATCAAAGCAGGTTTGATGATAACCCTATCATACAACCAAAGTAGGTTTGATGGTAACCCTATCTTTCAACCAAAGCATGTTTGACGATAACCCTATCTTACAACCAAAGTAGGTTTGATGATAACCCTATCTTACAACCTAAGTAGGTTTGATGATAACCGTATCTTACAACCTAAGTAGGTTTGATGATAACCCTATCCTACAACCTAAGCAGATAATAACCCTGTGTTACCTATTTAGATAGGCCTTAGATTTTACGTATTAAGTAGTTATTATCATTTGGATTCTAATTTTGTAGTTAGTTGTGTCATGTTATATGTCGGATATTTACGTTGTAATAATTTGTGAGTAGAGGGCTGTCTCTGGAAGTTACAGCCAACACTAACAGGCAATAGATTTGATGCTATACTTGTGTTTGCACAGGAGAATGATCTGGATCAAGCAGACAAATATGCTGAGTTAGCCATGTCATCAGACAGGTACAATCCTGCAGGTGAGTCCAATGTTTGTACACCAAGTTAAAGGTGATGGAAGTGAGAGCTGATTGGTCAGCCACACAGGTGATATATTAGATGGGGGCTGTAAAATCCATTATTGTAGAGCAATGCTCTAACTATGCTTGTCATTGATGAAGCCAAGATTTGTGGTAAACTGTCACACGCAATAAAGCTCTGTATTATTATACTGCTGGTATACTGTTCACCTATCCACTCCAAATCAACGGGGAAAACTTTTTACTACAGAACCTGTTAATCAGAATAGGACATGAATATATATTGACCAGAGATTTCCAGTAGGAAGTCATGTACCACGGGTACTCTTTCAGTGTATATTCACAGTCACTAAAGTCCTGTCATAATAGATATGGTGGATATGTATAATTTGAATAGAATCTGCTGCTGCTTTCTGTTTATGGTATCTGTATCACTGTTCCTTTGTACTTGTAGCTCTGGTCAACAAGGGAAATGTTGTATTCAAAAGAGGTGACTTTGAAAAGGCCAGAGAGTATTTCAAGGAGGCTCTGCAGAATGACTCGTCCTGTGTGGAGGCCTTGTATAATTTAGGTAAGTCCTAGGGATGTAAAGGAGAGCCACATGTAGTGATGACTATAACTAGTTCTATGAAATATTCCATCGGCAGAATTTTGTTAGTCTTTCATGCTTAACTCTTGTTAAGTAGCTGAGCGTCCGTGTTGAACCTGTGTCAGATTGCTGGAGACAATGAATTCTATGTGCTATTTTTGTAGGACTGTGTAACAAGAGGATCAACCGACTTGAGGACGCCCTTGACTGTTTCTATAAACTACATGCCATCCTCAGAAACAGTCCACAAGTGATGTACCAAATAGCAGACATGTATCCTTTACAGCTCACTATCAATAAACATGACAGAGTCACAAGTGTAATCACCTTTTACTTGTTTACCTTGAGAATGTGTAAAATCATATTTATTTATAGAAAGAGATTAAAAGATTATTATCTCCCTGTCATTATTGGAAGGTGGTGTTGTGATCACTCGTGTCCTTTTGTCTGTCCCTGTCATTATAGGAAGGTGATGTTGTCTGTCCCTGTCATTATAGGAAGGTGATGTTGTTATCATTCGTGTCCTTTTGTCTGTCCCTATCAATATAGGAAGGTGATGTTGTCTGTCCCTGTCATTAAAGGAAGGTGATGTTGTGATCACTCGTGTCCTTTTGTCTGTCCCTGTCATTATAGGAAGGTGATGTTGTGATCACTCGTGCCCTTTTGTCTGTCCCTGTCATTATAGGAAGGTGATGTTGTGATCACTCGTGTCCTTTTGTCTGTCCCTGTCATTATAGGAAGGTGATGTTGTCTGTCCCTGTCATTAAAGGAAGGTGATGTTGTGATCACTCGTGTCCTTTTGTCTGTCCCTGTCATTATAGGAAGGTGATGTTGTGATCACTCGTGTCCTTTTGTCTGTCCCTGTCATTATAGGAAGGTGATGTTGTGATCACTCGTGTCCTTTTGTCTGTCCCTTTCATTATAGGAAGGTGATGTTGTCTGTCCCTATCATTATAGGAAGGTGATGTTGTGATCACTCGTGTCCTTTTGTCTGTCCCTATCATTATAGGAAGGTAATGTTATCTGTCCCTATCATTATAGGAAGGTGATGTTGTGATTACTCGTGTCCTTTTGTCTGTCCCTGTCATTATAGGAAGGTGATGTTGTCTGTCCCTGTCATTATAGGAAGGTGATGTTGTGATCACTCGTGTCCTTTTGTCTGTCCCTATCAATATAGGAAGGTGATGTTGTCTGTCCCTGTCATTAAAGGAAGGTGATGTTATGATCACTCGTGTCCTTTTGTCTGTCCCTTTCATTATAGGAAGGTGATGTTGTTATCATTCGTGTCCTTTTGTCTGTCCCTGTCATTATAGGAAGGTGATGTTGTCTGTCCCTGTCATTATAGGAAGGTGATGTTGTGATCACTCGTGTCCTTTTGTCTGTCCCTGTCATTATAGGAAGGTGATGTTGTCTGTCCCTGTCATTATAGGAAGGTGATGTTGTGATCACTCGTGTCCTTTTGTCTGTCCCTATCATTATAGGAAGGTGATGTTGTCTGTCCCTGTCATTATAGGAAGGTGATGTTGTGATCACTCGTGTCCTTTTGTCTGTCCCTGTCATTATAGGAAGGTGATGTTGTGATCACTCGTGTCCTTTTGTCTGTCCCTGTCATTATAGGAAGGTGATGTTGTGATCACTCGTGTCCTTTTGTCTGTCCCTGTCATTATAGGAAGGTGATGTTGTGACCACTCGTGTCCTTTTGTCTGTCCCTATCATTATAGGAAGGTGATGTTGTGATCACTCGTGTCCTTTTGTCTGTCCCTATCATTATAGGAAGGTGATGTTGTGATCACTCGTGTCCTTTTGTCTGTCCCTGTCATTATAGGAAGGTGATGTTGTCTGTCCCTGTCATTATAGGAAGGTGATGTTGTGATCACTCGTGTCCTTTTGTCTGTCCCTGTCATTATAGGAAGGTGATGTTGTGATCACTCGTGTCCTTTTGTCTGTCCCTGTCATTATAGGAAGGTGATGTTGTCTGTCCCTGTCATTATAGGAAGGTGATGTTGTGATCACTCGTGTCCTTTTGTCTGTCCCTGTCATTATAGGAAGGTGATGTTGTGATCACTCGTGTCCTTTTGTCTGTCCCTGTCATTATAGGAAGGTGATGTTGTGATCACTCGTGTCCTTTTGTCTGTCCCTGTCATTATAGGAAGGTGATGTTGTGATCACTCGTGTCCTTTTGTCTGTCCCTGTCATTATAGGAAGGTGATGTTGTGATCACTCGTGTCCTTTTGTCTGTCCCTGTCATTATAGGAAGGTGATGTTGTGATCACTCGTGTCCTTTTGTCTGTCCCTGTCATTATAGGAAGGTGATGTTGTGATCACTCGTGTCCTTTTGTCTGTCCCTGTCATTATAGGAAGGTGATGTTGTGATCACTCGTGTCCTTTTGTCTGTCCCTGTCATTATAGGAAGGTGATGTTGTGATCACTCGTGTCCTTTTGTCTGTCCCTGTCATTATAGGAAGGTGATGTTGTGATCACTCGTGTCCTTTTGTCTGTCATTATAGGAAGGTGATGTTGTGATCACTCGTGTCCTTTTGTCTGTCCCTGTCATTATAGGAAGGTGATGTTGTCTGTCCCTATCATTATAGGAAGGTGATGTTGTGATCACTCGTGTCCTTTTGTCTGTCCCTGTCATTATAGGAAGGTGATGTTGTCTGTGAAAACACTCGCTCTCCCTGTCATTATAGGAAGGTGATGTTGTGATCAGTTTGTCCATGTACAATTAAACATTATATAGTTGTGATCCATGTCTATTATAGGAAGGTGATGTTGTCTGTCCCTGATGATGAATAAAAGGTGATGTTGTGATCACTTGTCCAGTAACTGTGTCCTCCCTGTCATTATAGGAAGGTGACTGTTGTATCAGGGGTGATGGACACTGGTGTCCTTTTGTCTGTCCCTGTCATTATAGGAAGGTGATGTTGTGATCACTCGTGTCCTTTTGTCATTCTCTCTCATATTTTTATGAAACATTTTTATTGTTAGATGACACCTAACAGATATGTTTGTGCTATATAGAACAGATATGACTCTGTACTGTATAAACAGATATGTCTGTATGGCGTGATGTAACAGATATGTCTGAAACATATTTAGAGCAGATATGTCTGTACTATATAAACATTATGTAGACTGATATGTGAAACAGATTTGTCTACTATGATGATGAAAAAAGTTTGGGAAATGATGTCACTTTACAGTAACTGTGTTCATCAGCTCAGATACTGTTGTATCAGGGGTGAAGGACACATGGTGGTTAATGTTTTCTCTGTTAGGTATACTTTGTGAGTCGTTTATTTATAGGACTTCAGCTGTATACAATTAACAGAGGTGACACTAACAGATATGTTTGTGCTATATAAACAGATATGTCTGTACTGTATAAACAGATATGTCTGTACTGTATTAACAGATATGTCTGTACTATATAAACAGATATGTCTGTACTATATAAACAGATATGTCTGTACTGTATAGTCTGTACTGTATAAACAGAGATGGCTGTACTGTACAGTGAGATTTGTTAAAGTGACCTTTTTTTCCAGGTTTATGCAGTTGATAGGAGTGGTACCCACAGACACATCTGTGCTGGCGAAAACCGGAGAGATCTATGATAATGAAGGAGACAAGTCACAGGCATTCCAGTATTATTATGATGTATGTATCTTGTTGTTTAGTGGTTCTGTCAACAGATTGAACAGCTGTTAATGTAATGAAGATTTCTGTTACAGCAGAATCTCCTTTCACGCTGTAACAAAATTACTTCTGTATTGAATTTATGATCTTACTTATTTACAAATCATTAATCCATATTAAATATTCAATTCTTGGAAATCCTAAACACACCCTCTTAACTGTTGTTGTCTAATTCTTGGAAATCCTAAACACACCCTTTTAACTGTTGTTATCTAATTTTTGTTTTTTATTTCAGTCCTATAGATATTTCCCATCCAACATTCCAGTAATAGAATGGTTAGGAGCATATTACATAGATTCCCAGTTCTGTGAAAAAGCCATCCATTACTTTGAGAGAGCAAGTATAGTACAGTAAGTAACAGTGTGACATCATGTTTACTGTAAACCAAGTCAGGTTGTGTGACATCATCTTTACTGTAAACCAAGTCAGGTTGTGTGACATCATGTTTACTGTAAACCAAGTCAGGTTGTGTGACATCATGTTTATTGTAAACCAAGTCAGGTTGTGTGACATCATGCTGACATCATTGTGTGACATCATGTTTACTGTAAACCAAGTCAGGTTGTGTGACATCATGTTTACTGTAAACCAAGTCAGGTTGTGTGACATCATGTTTACTGTAAACCAAGTCGGGCTATGTGACATTGTGGAACTCCTACTTGATGTCTGTAATATTCTAGCTTTCTTTGGATGTAGATGCTACTAATAGCCACATTTTGGATATTTTGTTTTCTACTAAGGAATGTATGACTACACACAGGGTATGGTATTATTATCAGTTTTCTATATAATATGCTATCTTTACAGTTATATTAATTTACTGTAAAGAAATTTAATGAAGAAATGCTGTAGAGAGAAATAAAACAATAGACAACCCATGTAGGATAGGGTAGTATCCTTGAAGTCTGATTCTGCTGTACCATCATGGTACTAGAGATATTTTTCCTTTATGCCTGCGTCCATTATTTATCATATCTGAATATTTTGGTTTACATGTAATCTGTGTCATGAAAGATTCTTGTCTGTTTCATCAAGATTATGTGGTTCTGACTTGTATTTACAGACCTGCCCAGGTGAAATGGCAGCTAATGATAGCTAGCTGTCATCGTAGAAGTGGAAATTATCAAAACGCCTTAGAAACTTACAAACATATACACAAACGGTTCCCTGAAAATGTAGAATGTAAGTACATCTTTATTTATCATGTAGATGCAAAGATATGTTATAAGACATGAAAGAGAGTGTTCAGAATGTCCTATTGAAAATATCATATTTTATACTTATTGCAAAGTAGGTGACTTATCAATGTACTGTAGTAGGTTACTTATCAATGTTTAAGATTTGACTTTTCTGTGTTAAACAATGTAAACTTGGTTGGACATTGCAGGTTTAAAATTCCTGGTTAGAATATGTTCTGATCTGGGTCTAAAGGAAGCACAAGAATACGCCACAAAGTTAAAGAAGGCAGAGAAGACCAAAGAGATGCGTGAACAGGTCTGTAAGGATGGCAGGTTATCAAGGTTTTCTATATCGTATATATAGAGACTACACAACTTGTAATCCTGGTATATGGTATTTCTTTCAATGGCGGAAAAGATGATTGTCTTATATATTGTTGTATGTTATGACTTGGTGTGATTTGTCAGCCAATCAAAACATATTGAAGTGTTACACTCTGTGTAGTATAGCATTTATGTTTATACAAAGATGGAATGATTAATTAATGCCTTGAGAAGTGACCCGCCTAATGTAGTAGAAAAGAACTTACGAACAAGGCAAAGTAAGAGAAAAATGCAATTATAATTTCACTTAACTATTTTGAATTAACTGTCACATAGAAAATTCTTTACTGGATCACGATATTTTAGCTAAAGTGATGATGGCAGAGTTTTCTATTTTGGATAGAAATTTTCTGTATCTAAGAAATGTTAGGGTGATTGGTATTATTACTGTTTCCCCAGAAAGTTTGTGTAAGCTGTTGGATCTAATGGCTTAGAAAGCAGACTTCAGTTTGGAGAATTACTCTACATGTACTTCATGGGACACATGACTGTAATGCTGTAAATAAATGATTTACCTTTGATTACAGAGGGCCAGTAGTGGAACCAGGAGAGGAAGTGGGCGGGGTCGTAGAGGAGAAGATACAGGTAGAAATCATATGTTATCAGTTTTATAAAGATATTGATTCACTTTTCTATTGGAATGAAGAAGGAACTAGAAGGTGCAGCTGTATGAATTGATATGCTAATATTACTGAGTACAAAGTTCCATTTAGACTATTTTTAGTATTTGCACATTCGGGCAGGTGATGATTTAATTTAACAAATTGGTTGTCTTCAAAAAATTAGAACTTTTTATATTTATATTTGTATGTTCTATTTATTGGATATAGTGAAAACAAATGAAAAGACTTTATTTATTCTGTAATGATGATGGAAAAACTCTCTGTCAATAAACAGATAAACTCCGGGGTCTAGAGAGTCTGTCAGGTTCACAAAATCTTGTCATATCTAGATATCTGATCATGTGATTTGTAAGGATAAACAGCCATCCACTGAGAGATAAATCTTTGGTAACTTTTCTAATGCTGTTTCTGTGCTAAACAGGAATGAAACGGTTCAGTTTGACACTCATGTTTTTAAGCTTTATCAATATGTTAGTCATTCAAACGCTTGAATTATAAGAGGTTAAAAGGTAGTTTCTTGGACAGGATGAATTTGACACAGAAACCTCCATACTGTTTACTGCTCAGTCATTTTAGGTTTTGTGAGTGCTATTTTTATTTTGATTAAATTATGGCATGGACTTCAATTCAACTTTACCAACTACATGTACCTGTAACTAAAATGTTCAACCTGCTCAGTTGGGGAAGTCTTAGACATAAATGACCTGCTTGACATCAGGTCTCACTTGCACCAAGCATTTGGGCTATAGTTGATGTTGAGCTGTGGTTTAGTGATGCAACTTGAGTTATAGAGTAAAAACTCTACTTAATAGTTTACTCTTTTTACATACCAATGATTGGAGGATGAAATCAAATTGACCCGTATACATACATTTGAACAAGCACTCTACTAGACAAGTCTATCATATCAATTTTATCATTCTTTCTATAGTTATATTCTGATTGAATATCTCTTTATGTATGTTGGTGTCGTATGTTCTGTGTACAGACGAGAGTAGTGGTGGAAGGAAAACCAGTGGACAGAGAAGAGGTGGGGGTAAAAGACGACCTAACCTGGATGATGTAGACGATGGAGCTTATCAGATGTCCAGTAAACAGGACATAGGTAAGTACTTATGATGACTGGAAAACATTAGTTAGTTTATACTCAGGCTAACTGTTATAGGTTATGGAGACTAGAAAACTCCTTGTTACAGGTTATGTAAACTAGAAAACTCCTTGTTACAGGTTATGTAGAATAGAAAACTCCTTGTTACAGGTTATGTAGACTAGAAAACTCCTTGTTATAGGTTATGTAAACTAGAAAACTCCTTGTTATGTAGAATAGAAAACTCCTAGTTATAGGTTATGTAGACTAGAAAAACTCCTTGTTACAGGTTATGTAGACTAGAAAACTCCTTGTTACAGGTTATGTAGACTAGAAAACTCCTTGTTACAGGTTATGTAGACTAGAAAACTCCTTGTTACAGGTTATGTAGACTAGAAAACTCCTTGTTACAGGTTATGTAGACTAGAAAACTCCTTGTTACAGGTTATGTAAACTAGAAAACTCCTTGTTACAGGTTATGTAAACTAGAAAACTCCTTGTTACAGGTTATGTAGACTAGAAAACTCCTTGTTACAGGTTATGTAGACTCTCCTTGTTACAGGTTATGTAGACTAGAAAAGGTTATGTAAACTCTCTTGTTACAGGTTATGTAGACTAGAAAACTCCTTGTTACAGGTTATGTAGACTAGAAAACTCCTTGTTACAGGTTATGTAGACTAGAAAACTCCTTGTTACAGGTTATGTAGACTAGAAAACTCCTTGTTACAGGTTATGTAGACTAGAAAACTCCTTGTTACAGGTTATGTAGACTAGAAAACTCCTTGTTACAGGTTATGTAGACTAGAAAACTCCTTGTTATAGGTTATGTAGACTAGAAAACTCCTTGTTACAGGTTATGTAGACTAGAAAACTCCTTGTTACAGGTTATGTAGACTAGAAAACTCCTTGTTACAGGTTATGTAGACTAGAAAACTCTTTGTACAGGTTATGTAGACTAGAAAACTCGTTGTTACAGGTTATGTAGACTAGAAAACTCCTTGTTACAGGTTATGTAGACTAGAAAACTCCTTGTTATAGGTTATGTAGACTAGAAAACTCCTTGTTACAGGCTATGGAGACTAGAAAACTCCTTGTACAGGTTATGTAGACTAGAAAACTCCTTGTTACAGGTTATGTAGACTACAAAACTCCTTGTTATAGGTTATGTAGACTAGAAAACTCCTTGTTACAGGTTATGTAGACTAGAAAACTCCTTGTTATAGGTTATGTAGACTAGAAAACTCCTTGTTACAGGTTATGTAGACTAGAAAACTCGTTGTTATAGGTTATGTAGACTAGAAAACTCCTTGTTACAGGTTATGTAGACTAGAAAACTCCTTGTTATAGGTTATGTAGACTAGAAAACTCCTTGTTATAGGTTATGTAGACTAGAAAACTCCTTGTTATAGGTTATGTAGAGTAGAAAACTCCTTGTTATAGGTTATGTAGAATAGAAAACCCCTTGTTATAGGTTATGTAGACTAGAAAACTCCTTGTTACAGGTTATGTAGACTAGAAAACTCCTTGTTACAGGTTATGTAGACTAGAAAACTCCTTGTTACAGGTTATGTAGACTAGAAAACTCCTTGTTATAGGTTATGTAGACTAGGTTATAGGTCAGTTAGTATATTTTTTAAGGCTTACTAGAAAACTCCTTGTTATAGGTTATGTAGACTAGGTTATAGGTTAGTTAATATATTTTCAGGCTTACTAGAAAACTCCTTGTTATAGGTTATGTAGACTAGGTTATAGGTCAGTTAGTATATTTTCAGGCTTACTAGAAAACTCCTTGTTATAGGTTATGTAGACTAGGTTATAGGTCAGTTAGTATATTTTCAGGCTTACTAGAAAACTCCTTGTTATAGGTTATGTAGACTAGAAAACGCCTTGTTATAGGTTATGTAGACTAGGTTATAGGTCAGTTAGTATATTTTCAGGCTTACTAGAAAATTCCTTGTTATAGGTTATGTAGACAAGGTTATAGGTTAGTTAATATATTTTCAGGCTTACTAGAAAACTCCTTGTTATAGGTTATGTAGACTAGGTTATAGGTCAGTTAGTATATTTTCAGGCTTACTAGAAAACTCCTTGTTATAGGTTATGTAGACTAGGTTATAGGTCAGTTAGTATATTTTCAGGCTTACTAGAAAACTCCTTGTTATAGGTTATGTAGACTAGGTTATAGGTCAGTTAGTATATTTTCAGGCTTACTAGAAAACTCCTTGTTATAGGTTATGTAGACTAGGTTATAGGTTAGTTAGTATATTTTCAGGCTTACTAGAAAACTCCTTTTGATTGAAATTTGAATTGAAAAGTAAACAATTAAAATGTCCTATGTTAATGCTTTATAAAAAGCTGGTTTGATAGATGTTAAAATTTCACTTGTGATTCACTGACATAAATCTTTTGAAATTTATTTGTTCCTTATTACTGAAGGAGAGGATATCAAAAATGGTAGGTATAGTGTTGGTACCTCGATTCTTCTTCTGTAGTCTTTTCCTGGTCCTTTATCCATTATTTATCTAACCTCAACACACTAATGGTTTCTTCAATTTTTAGGGAAAATTTGTGTATTATTGTCTTCATTATATCACTTTTATCAGTTTTAATTTTTTTTTTTATTATTTTATTTTTTTTTTTTTTTTTCCAATTTTGTTACAGTAATTATGTTCTTTTTCTGATTTTGTTTATGGCTTTGAATTTTTATTTAGATTTTGTATCCGTGTTGATGTGATAGATATATATATATACAGCAATCTGCAGAACTTGATCTCACTCTGTACATAATATACATTACTTTCTTTTTTGAAATGAGAAGGCTTATAAGCTTTTACCATCATTTTTCATTGTGTGTGGAAGCCTTGCTTATCTCCCCTGGCAGATGTTATGGGCCTTATGCTGGTTTTCTCCAGTAGATAAATTGTTGACTGGAGGTGAAGGGAATTTCAGTATGGAACTACTCCTTTACAGAATCAAATTCCTTATGATGCTAACCATGACAAACATTATTTCTGCTTGTGTATACTTGCTTTGTGTTGTGTAATACCCAAAAAACTTGAAAGTAACGTGTGACTTCCGTTATTTTTTAGTTGTAATCTCGCTTTGCTCACCAAACATGAGTTGTTATAATTTAAACAATGAAAGGCAGTTCTACATGACAAGATGTATTTTTGAAAGTAACTGTGAAATAGATAAGCCTGTTTATTGTATTCTTCACTTGAATTAATTCTAGTTGTGATCTTCTTATTTTTCAACATAATTTTCCCTGCAAAGAATTCATGGATTATTTTCAAATCTGACCTCTGTTTTAAGATTTTAGGGTATGTCATGTTGTTCACACAGATCAGTTTAACTATTTCACTCTAAATTTAGCAAGTTTTTAAGATTCTTATGTTTTCAATAGTCACCAAATACCAGTAGTGAGATATTGCCTTCAGGTCTTTGGATTGACGTAATGGAAACTGATATATTTGTTCGGACTATTGATTACTGAATTCACTCCCACTTAATCCCATATACTGTACGGTACTGTTAACTTTTTATGTTTGTTATCATGTGTAACAATCTCTCTCTAACTTAAAGTCACATCTTTTGTCTTTCTTTGTTACCCTGTCATTAACAAGTTAGTAAAACATCGATATTTCTGATACTTTTGGTTTTAGCTCCTAAGGTCTATAACATAAACCTTGTCCTGGGAACATTTTAGATTTTATATTCACGGTTGAGTGAAAGGTAGTTAGATGGGTGCTAAACTCCTTGCAACTTTTTTACCTGAGTATCTCGTTATCATTACAGTCTAACATCAGGGTACATTAACTAGGTGTTCATATTTACCTGAGTATCCCGTTTAGGTGTTTATATTTACCTGAGTATCTCGTTATCATTACAGACTAACATCAGGGTACATGAACTAGGTGTTTATATTTACCTGAGTATCCCGTTTAGGTGTTTATATTTACCTGAGTATCTCGTTATCATTACAGACTAACATCAGGGTACATGAACTAGGTGTTTATATTATTTAATAGTACTTATAATTCATATAAAGACAATTAAAATGATTAATTATTTTAACTCTAACTTCCACCAATACACCAGCAGACATTTGCTTTCAACATGGTCCCTTTGTCGTGATATCCAGTGTGATGAAGATCGAAATAAAACCTGTGATATCTAAACAGTTGATTAACATTTATTGCAGCACACTAGACAAAGTGTTTCAGAAAATAATCATATTATTATCTTTGTTTTTTTACAAAAATGCCCTTACTGATCAGTACCATTGTACTTTCCTGCCTTGCTAGTACGTTTTAAAACATTTCGTCATGATTTCAGGCAATATTGACTCTGATATTTTGAACTTGGATTTATATTCACGGGCATAATTTCGATATCTGTACAGGTTCAACAATATGTATTTATATTTGTTTGAGCTGACAGAAGGTTTGTTGTATATCTGTTGGTGTGTATGTATCATTGTGTTCCAATACATGTATGATACATTGAAAGTAAGAAAGGAGCTTTCCACTCAGTAAATGGGGATATATAGCAATTGCCATGTCTGCCTATGTAACCATTCATCATAGCTCAATACACAAAGCTTGTGTATATGACTTCCCACAACAGATTTAGTTTTTATTCCGCTGTAGTGTCTTTACACCCTATTAGATTTAGGTATAAAGATTTTTATGTGATGTACTTTGTCCACTCAGATGCATCCTACAGTGATCCTCTGGGGCCTCAAATGGAACGTCCTAAGACAGCTGCTGTCCGAGGAGGGAAAGCAGAGGAGGATATGTTTGATGAAGAACTTGGAGAAGACATGTTACCAGAGTAGAGGACAGCTTCACCAACGATGTCTGTGTTGATGTTGTCAAACAAAACATTCTAATTAATAACTTTATGGTAGACTCATTCCGTCCTGACTTGAATCTCTGGATTACTATTGACTTTTAAAATTGAGCAAACCTCAGTGATTTTACATGTGCGTTAGAAGAGTACATGACATTTTTTTGTTGTGTGCAGCAGAATGGATACATCTTATAAACAGTGTCAAATTGTTTTGATGTCATTACAGAAATGCCACTGATTAGTATGTAAGATATAGTTATTTATTTATTGAAAATTGATGAAACGCAAATTTGTCAACTGTGATACTATATTCATTAAATCATTGTTACATGGAAACATATTTGTTGTGTTTGACCTATCTTCTACATCAATTAATCTTCAAACAAACATACAGTCGACAGGCCAAGTCTTACTCTCTACAGAATATGTGGATTGGTTACATCTTGATATTATATACTGTATCTTCACCACCCATAGTGATTGGTTCATACTGATCTAGAAATGAAAAATGTTTGGAAGAGATAGCCGCCCCTAAATCTACATATTAGTGTTGGACTAGTAAAAATAATTGTAACGGGTCTAACACATACCTTCTGACTCAACATCAGGGGTGGTCTTATTACAGGACCCCAGGAGCCAGCACATACTTCTGATTCAAAATCAGGGGTGATCTTATGACAGAACCACAAGAGCCAACACAAACTTCTGACTCAACATCAGGGGTGGTCTTATTACAGGACCCGAGGAGCTAGCAGATACTTCTGATTCAAAATCAAGGGTGGTCTTATGACAGAACCACAAGAGCCAACACATAACTTCTGATTCAAAATCAGGGGTGGTCTTATTACAGGACCCCAGGAGCAAACACATACCTTCTGACTCAAAATCAGGGGTGGTCTTATTACAGAATCACAGGAGCCAACACATACTTCTGACTCAACATCAGGGGTGGTCTTATTACAGAACCACAGGAGCCAACACATACTTCTGACTCAACATCAGGGGTGGTCTTATTACAGAACCACAGGAGCCAACACATACTTCTGACTCAACATCAGGGGTGGTCTTATTACAGGACCCCAGTATAAGCACATTGACTGTACAGTATAAGAATGGTGTTAATTACTGGATCAATATAATTATACATATACAAGACAAGTTGTATTTCTGTGCCTTTTATATCATTGAGACTATAATTCTACTGAATTTTAAAATGTGCTGAAATTTTCATAACTTTCGCATACCTGATGGATTTTGAACAAGTTACAATAGTTAAACCACTCTTGTAATTCTTCCATTTTATGATTTTTTTATAAAAGCCCATCATATGATGATTGATGGGCTTTTCAAATTGTCCTATATCCATCAAATGTCTGTCCGTAAAAAGTTCATGATATTTCTTGATAAGAACTAGATGTATCTATCTCAAGTGTAGGTGCCCCTTCGTCGCTACAGCCGTGTTTACTATTGGGACTGATCAGAAAAAAAAAACGACTGACAGACTGCCATCTTAGATTTTGACAATGAAAGATTATCACTATTTCTTCAGAAGGACTGAGTGAATCTTTCTCAAATTACTCATGAAGATTCCTCGTGGTCTCTACTTGCGTCATGCTGATTTTGGGAATAATGAAAAAAAGAAAGGGAATCAACTCATGGAGAGTAGTTCTAGAGGAGCTAAAACACTGCTATCATAATTTGAATTTGATAATTAAATCCGAGAGCTTGGGTCCTAGTGAAGTTGTATTCATTGTACATTGAAGCACAGGTGTTCAAAACTGCCCTTAGAGGACTGTAAAACCTTAATTCATTCTTGTTGGTGATTCATAAATCATATAAAGAAACAAAAAGTATGGGATGTTATATATGTTAATTTATTGCTTAGCATTGATTACAGGTGCATGCGATGAAATACTACAATGCATTACAGCAAATAAAAAGTCTACAAACTTGGCCGCAGTCCTAGACAGATCAGTCAAAGCGTTTCTACACAAGTCTGGGTGTCAATAGGTAAAACAAGGACTCTCTTCCTCTGATTAACACTGTTTGGCCTCTAGCAAATTTATAATTACTTCTCAATTAAACAGACTTATCAGCACAGCACACAAATTACCTCCCTTTGATGCTCTTGCTGAGGTTTGTTATTACAGAACTTCAGGAGGAAATTATTTTTATATCCATGAAATGTACAATGACCAATATCAGTAACATCTGGGAAGGGAGAGAGTCATTCAGTGAGGAAACAGGAGGATATCTACAAATGATATATAGCCATCAACCTTTACAACCATAATAGTTACAACAACAGACAAGTGTCGGTTCACAACCTGGAATGAGTAAGGCACAACCAAGATTGATAGGAGGATATGTAACATGACACAGAAATTCATCAGAAATTTGTGCGTGAAATACTTCCAAGATAACACCGGCAGGGTTTAACTGGTATCGTGTTTTCCAAAAAAAAAAAAAAAAAACACAAAAATATCAACCAGAGTTACTTTGTAGCAAGATCATTTCTGAACATGAAGGAAAAATCTATCTCCATACTTTTTCAATATGTTCCAATGAAAGCTTCAAAATTTAAGTTTGAATTTATTCTAAAAACTTTCACTCATGTCACTGATTTTAAAACTGATAATAGAGATTCACAACTGAGAGAAACAATCACATAAAAATTGTTTTAATCCTCTGTACAACATGGATTCAGCTATTGATAAGTACATCAAAGCTAAACTGTACGCACCATTGAAATCTATAGTTGAAATGAATTATGGGAAAATTAATATCAACACTGTATGTTCAGAAAGCTAGCCAAAGTCTTTGGATTTACCTCAATAACACGTTTTTTTTAAAAAAAAGCATAAATAATGACATTTTCTTCAGAAAGACATTTCAAATATGTATATGCATTGGATTTTCTACGTACTGTGCTTAGAACTTCTGAAAACGTTTTGACAACCAAGAATGCTATGGAATGGTAAAATTGGAATGTAGCAACTATTCTGAGGTTCAGAATAAGTTATTTTTAAGTCTGAAGCTTATTACTCAACCGCTAATAATACACCAATAAGCAGAACTTTAATATACTCGAAAGTTCATCACTGAAGATCAAAATAAACATAGGTGTAGAAATAAGCCTTATGTTACCAGAAAGGTGACAGGAAGTGCAGGTATGACAGAAAATTACCCGACTCAAATTAAGTTACCTTGCATGTCAAGTTACCTGTGACTTACTTGTTTAGCAAATTCACCTGCGACTACTTAGCCTGTCCATACTAAAGTTATCTGCAAGTTTGTATGACCTACGGATGAGAAACTAAAAATCACTAACATCTTTCAATACCTCCAACCTTATCAAAATATAAAACTCTTTCTATGTACATAACATATGTATCTGTGCTATATACAAATGTCCATATATATATATATACCTGTGTTTCAGTGAGCTGAACACACATTACCTTTCACACCTCAGGACTATTATGGTAAACTACGTGCACCAATTATCCTACTCACACATGTACACACATTCTGTCCACACATGCATTTCCGTTTCCACATACGTGGGGTATAATTTGTTCCTCTTCTCGTCCTATTCAATATATCGTACCTAACATATCATTATGTACAACAGCCGTAGATATGTGCCAATCTTTGTAACAGTGATATTCTATTTGTTATTGATAACAATATTTGTACAATAGGGTACAAAAAGCTGCATAATAGTTATATAAAACTCTCAGTCCTCTGTACTGTCCATGTAGGTATGACCGTACACAGCTCTCCTCTCTACGTCTATATACACTGACAGAATCACCAAGTCTAATATCAAAATGTGTACTAAAGGATCACAGCCTGCCATATAATATCGGCTAATCCCAAATCATACTCCATAATCAAAATCATACTTTGTAACCAATAATAATAATAAATGAATTTATTTAATACTTAAAATTAAAAAAAAAAAAATTGCACAACAATTTTTACGTTTATAACCTCGGAGATGTTCACAGTCTCGTTAGCTCAAAGCAGTAACAAAATATTGAAAGCAACTACAATAATTTTTATCACTTTTGATCCAGTTTTGGTTGGAATTTTAATAATTACTAATATCATTACTAAGCCAAATTTCCATAATTAAAGTAACGAGTCCCTGAACACTTGGCCGCGTAAATCTATGATAATAAACTGGGTACCTTTCAGGTGAATGATTATAAGGGGATACATTCTGTCTCTAGTACATCAAAAGTTTGTGTACTATACTGTAAACAATACATACAGCATCCAATATGTCAAGTAATTTCAAAAACAATGTAATGCCCACAGATACCAATAGTGATCTCATAAACACTGTAGGCCAGCACATGTCTTCCCAAACTCGTAAGGAAACATCCTCCAACTTTTAACAAACATTCCTGTCTAAGTCTGAAAATCAGACTGCCCAGAGGAATAACTCTCTTACGTGTTGGATGAGGAATAAGTCAACACTTCACCCATGGAACATTCTGACTTTGTCCCTCACACAGGTCTGTACTTAACATCCCAGAGTCCCTCACACAGGTTGGTACTGAGGATCTCACTGTCCGTTATGTAGTTGAGATTCTATATTTCGGAGAGTTTTCGATGCTTTGGGTTTATATTTTGGAGTTTCTTCTCCAGCTTCTGCAGCGAAGAATTTCATTTTGTCTTTGAAGGACATTTTTTCTTGCCCTTTCTTAAAAGGTTGTCCGATACTGAAGTCCTTTTGAGCATTTATCCTACTCCGTGGGTCCCGATACACTTCCTGTGCTCCGATAACAGTTGGCGTGGTTTCTGTTGTTGTATATTTTTGATCTATGTGGTTTTGTTGTGGGGTAAATGCATTACTGTTATTGTTGTCTAGTGCTGAGGGGTTGATGTTGGGTGATGATGGCGAGTTTTGGTCCGATACAGACGACCGGTATGATGACACTGAGTTACCCCGGCCTTGGTCTTCGTTATAAGTGTTTATCTGCGTCTCCAACTGAGTGTTAAATTTCACCGACTTTTTAAAGGATGGTTCTGGAGGAGCTCGTCCAGCAGTGGAATTATTTTTGTATCCATTATAACTGTTCACCATACCAGGGTTTGATCTATTTGCAGCATCATAACTAGTGGGGCCACCATTTGATCTTGTTGCAACCTCGTATGAGGAGCCACGGGTGGGAGGGGGAGGTACATTGATGGTGTACCTGTCTGGAGGAGAGTACTGTGAAGGGAGATTAGCGTAAGGCTGATACTGCTGTTGTGTTTGTACAGTCAACACCTCCAGACGTTTACGTTCATCCCCTACAGTAATTTCGCGGTTCGCTTCTCTACGTTCCCGCTCACGTTGTTCTTGTTGTTGTCGTTTGTACTCTTCTTCACGCCGTCTTGCCTCGGCACGCAGGACCTTCTCCTCAGCATCACGAGCCTCCTGAGCCTTTCTCTTCTGTTCACGCTCCTGGAAAACAAGAATTCTCACATAAGATGTCTTAAATATTAGAGGCAACAACATTTTCTGGACACTTATTAAAAGGAACTGTATTACAGCTTAGATAATAGTATGACTGAATTCCATTACAATGAAAGTTTTTTTCGTAAATAAAACAAGATAGAGCTTTTCTTTGTTTGCTTCCATTAATATCCCCTGACTATCAGTTATACATCACATACAGGAACACAGTTTAGTCATCACTTACAATTTCCTTTCGTCGCTGAATTTCTTCCATCTTCCTCGCCCGAACTTTCTCCTCTTCAGCTACCATGATGCGTTTTTGTTCCTCATAGTCTTGTCGTTGTTTCTCTCTCAGCTCCTAAATCATTAAAGATTTTCATTTTTAAAATATATATTTATATATATCCAGTGAAATCTGCAGTACAACTGACACGTATCACAGTCTGTAAATTACGAAAATCAAACACCAAAAGTTGACAGCATGGTACAAACAATGGCTATCTAACAAGTCATCCAATCAATTGTTGTATTAAATATTAACTGCTATATCAGGCTGGATTGTACATATCTGGTGAGGTCAGTTAATATGTAAAAGATAACAAATTAACCTTCTGTTTACGTAGATTTTCCTCCTGTTCTCGTTGTCTTTTCTCTTGACGCTGTCGAATCCTTTCTTGTCGTTCTTCTTTCTCCCTTTCGAAAATTTCCAGCTTTCCCTCCAAACTACAACCAGAAAACACCTTATCACCTACCCACACAATGAAATATTGATATCTTTAAAAAAAAATCTACTTAAGTTATCCAGTTTCTATCAAGTTAACAGAGTCAAGAATCTATTCTAATCCTAAACACAGTTACAAAAAAATCAAAACTGTCTCACTAAATTTTTTAATTTTTTTTCACCAAATGCATGACCATGCGAGAAATTGAGATGCAGCGTTTAGGACTTCTGGGAGAAAGTGTCAGGATGGGATGAAACAGTGCCAATGCTGATGAAGCTAGTGAATGAAAGCAGTGATATATCATCATACAATGTGCTGTAACTTTTATTTTGTGCATTGATATATCTTACTCCAAACATAACCAACACGTGCCATTTAGTCTGGGAGATTATCTACAGCAATACCATGGGGACAATGTTCATAGTATTTCATTTGCAAGGGTTCTCAACATCATTAAAGGTAATAATAATTTGTATTAACATTCAATCTGGTAGCAAAACTTACCTTTCCTCAATCCTGTTTAAAACCAAATTAGTCCTTTATTTTTAATGTATTGTTTGCATATAAAATTCACATCACAAATATGGTTGTCTTTTGAATTAACATGTTTTTTCTTCATTCTCTTGATATGATATTTTTAAGTTTGATGTCATTTGGAGATTTGTTTTGGTGATTATAACTGTGATTAAACATCCGAGAAATACTTACATTGCCTTACGTTCCTTTTCTTTGTCCATCTCCTCAAACATACGTTTGCGATTGTAATCCTCCATGTGTTTCTGGGCTTTGATAATGTCCTCCTTCAAGGTATTGATCATAAACTCACGTCCCTGTAGAAATACATGAGTTTGTACATAATAGTTTGTTTATTGAGAGTAAGAGAAAAACCTCACATACGTAGTTCAGAATATGAAAACTTTATCAAATATCAGATAAAGTTACTGTAAACAAACTTGTCTGGGCACCCTCAAATTTAATCATAATATTGATTTTAAACAAATAATTGCAATGATGAATTTGCATATTGACTACACTGTCAACTTACAGAAACTGCAATTAACTAAATCAGATTTTAGGGCTGAACGTGCTAAAATAAGGATACCACCAAAATATGTATGTTTACAGTATTGGTGCTAATTTGTAGAGATGACTTACCGCTTGCGTGTTGTTTGAAATGTCATGGTCAGAGTCATCTTCATCCTCTCCACGTCCCTCTACCTCCTGAACACGGCGCTGAAACTCCTGTTCCAGTCGTAGCTTTCTCAGCCTGTCCTGTTCCTGGGGGGATAGATATGGCCTTGATTCCAATTCTGAAATTTCAACCTCCCTTGCCTTTTTCATGTCTAGTTGTTGTTCCTTCTCAATTCTCTCCTTCTCATCACGCTCCCAAGCAGAACTCATAGGCTTTCCCTCTTTGTTACGTTCCGCCATCTCTGCAACAAGTCGGTTTTTGCTTTGAGATGTGAACTGCTGTGGAGCAGCCATATTGCGTGGCATTGTTGTGTTTTTCATAGGTGGCTGGGACATGTAGCTCTGTGGAGCCATACTGCTAGGGGGTAATGAAGCGCTTTTGTTGTCATATGGCTCATAAACATTCTGGCCTGGTGAATGCTGAGATGGAGATTCAAAGGAGCGATTTGGTGAGCGCCCCTCATAACTAATATTCTGGTAGTCATGGTTTGGCTGGTAGTGCTGAGGATGAATGTGTTGTGGTTTAGCTGGCGGCAACTGTTGAGGAGGAGGATGTCGCTGTGGTTCTGAGTAGGCCATCATGGAGTGATCTTGACGTGGGTCTTGAAAATGATGCTGGGAGTAATTTGATTGTTGATGAGGTGCGTTGTATGACTGGTAACTATTGGGAGGCATGCCGAAGCGGGGATCCCCTTGATTTGCATAGGGAGGATCCATATCATCACGCATGTGAGGGTCCGTCCTGTAGTCCTGGGAAGGAGGAGGCGGTGGCAAGGGAGGTAAATCATCATCCATATCCATACCTGCAGGAGGGGGAGGAAGCTCGGGAGGAATGTCTACTGGAGCAGGGGGTAATTCTGGGCTCTGGTGAGGGTTGTACATCTCTCTATTCTGGGGAAATTTCTGGTTCCTCTGAAGACTGGCATTACGAGGATCATTGTAACCTGGAGAATGTACCACATGAGGCTGCCCTGCCATATAGCTGGACTGGTTCATAGGTTTTGGTGACGCCTGGCCTTGCTGTGTCCTGGGGTCAAAGAAGTGGGGCTGAGACTGTCGATTGTCTGCTTCCACACGAGGAATGTCAACAGGCATCACCCGGGAGGCCGGTTTGGTGGCCACCATGGGTTTAGGTGCAGTTTGCGGTGCATGATCTAAATGAGGCTTTCTCATCTGATGGAAAGCTGGCTGTGGCTCCGTTTGTCTTGGCACTGTATTTTCATAAAAGTTAGGTTGGCGTGCCTCATTATTAGCACTCATTTTTGGAATGTCACCAGAATTTACATAGCCAGGACTGGAGTGGGGTGGAGAACGTGATGTGTTTACATAATTAGGGTCACGACCTTCGAAACTCCTCTCATGTGGTGAAGGTTGTGAATGGTGGTCATCCATGTTGTATTTTTGCTGCCATTCATGAATCTTATTAGCATTGATCTCCATTGATCTTGGTCGTTCCTCTCGCATGTCAACTCGGTCAGGTGGATGGCCAAAATACTCGGAGCGCGGCCTTTCATCTCTGAAGCTTGACTGTGAATTTCTTGATGAAGGAGGACCCCTACCCCCTGCCAAACCCATGTTTGGAGGTAAAGACTGGGCTGCTTCTGGGTACCCGCGGTCCATTCTCCCTGGGTCTGGAACATTCCTGAGCCTAGGATCCAGACCCTGCTGGTTCTCGTAGTCATGTGCCCTGGGATCACCGCGCCTGTCCATACTGTGGTTGTAATAATCGTGCTGTAGGGCACCCACAGATGCAGCTGGTCGCATTTGCTGAGGAGGCATCTGCTGTTGTTCACGACTGTCAAATGAATTGTCCATTCGAAGGTTAGGGATGGACTTGGACATTAGTCCAGGGTCTCTCAAGTCACGGGGATGCATGCCCCGTTCCTGTGGATTTGGGGGCTGGTTTTGAGACAACGAAGGGTCCCGCAGGTTTCCTGTTGATGTTGCTTTCATTCGATCAGACCCCATTCCATCACCTGGCAAAACAAAGAAAAGACTTTACAAAAATACACAAAAATAAAGATACATTAACATTTAGAAACAAATATCTTCAGAATTATGTTGATTTACTAAGACATCAAACTGATCCTATTTGTTATATCAACATTGTCTAGGGGACCTAGAACACCAGGGGTTACTGTTAATCGGTCAATGAGCCTTCAATCCCAAACAAAGCTCAAATTCAGTATAAAGTAAGAGAATAATTTCATTATCTGACAACATTTTAATAATCAATTTCAGTCCATACTAAAAACATTTACCTGTTACATTTATTATTGCAGCTAAGTTATGTTGACTGGCAGATTGTTACAACATGTCTTACAGACAAAAGAGAAATGACAGGACCAAGCTACAATGTATCTAATTCTAACATTAATTCTAATTAATCCAAAATATCTACAATTACCAGAGATTGACTATAGGCTGATTATGTCCTGTGAATCAGTCTCTATCCCGTTTTTGTTTTTTGAAAGAAAATAAAATATTTTTTTGTGTTGAAAGCTGGTAAATTTAACAAATACAAAACACTTTTAACAGCTAAATGCTAAAAATGCCATTCATATGATTTCTAATTCAATAACAAGCAGCATTACAATCATTCTCGGTTTACTTACGATACTGCTGCGCAGAGGTGATGTGCTTGCTGCGCGGATTCCTCGTAATAAAATTGCCCCCAGGTCGACCCCTTAGTGAGGCATTAGAACTACTGACCGACCCATTTAAGGTATGACTAGAGGTCAGTACCCCAGACTGACCTCTACTGTTGGAGTCGGAGTAATGTCTGGGTTTATCATTTGTGTACTGGTTATGGTAATGAGATGGTGGTGTTGCCATTGAGTGACGAGAGTGGCTTCCCTTTTCATAACCATGACGACTAGGATCACTACCATACCCAAGTGAAGAACTGCGAGAAGTGTTCTGGTCATACGGTGGCCCACTAAACACAGCACTGCCATAACCAAGTGATGATGAAATGACAGAACTTGAACCATTGTCAAGGGAAGGAATGGAAGAAGAGTTCATTATCATACTGGAATTCTTAAATCGATTGTACTCATCATTTTTAACTTGGTTGTTGTTTGGGTCACGAATCAGGCCAGATAGAGAACCTACACTTCTCGGACGTGGAGGAGGAGCATGACGGTTCTGCCTTTTGTTTACATAATTGTTGTTTCTGACATTAGCGTTATGACCACCTACAGGACGATCATGTCCAGCTGAGCGTCCCCTATGAGACAACATTTGAGCAGACTTGCTCCGCAGTAAATCCTGAGACTGCTGTTGGTCATTGTTAGCACTGTGTTTGTTTTGATGGCGATCCAGTACAAAGTTCTCAAGCTTCCTTCTCTCTGACCTGCTGAGATCAGTGAGGTCCCCAATAGATTTACTACGAATGTGTTTCCTAACACCACTCGGGCAGATCCCCTGACTTGTGTACTTCTTTAACTCCTTCTGTACAATCCTTAGATCTTTTTTCTTTTCTTCCATCTCATCATCAGCATAACCATTTGTATAATAATCGTCAGGCTCTACACCATTTATATAAGGGTTAGGTTGTCCACTGTTTACAATATTACTTTGTTGTAATCTCTGACCGTTACTTGAATGAACTTTTCCTGCTCTCACATATTCATCCCAAAGTGACCTCTGACTTGGGGTTGTTCTTCGGTCTAAAGATAAAACCTTTTTATTCTGAATATTAGCATTTTCTTTCAATTCCTCCAATTTTTTTTCTGATGCTTTTGCCTTCACTTCACGCAGATCAGCTTCTAAAATAGATCTCCAGAGGGCACTCCTTCTTCCATAAATATTTTCCATATCTTTGTGAGATACTCCCTTCCTGTATTCTGTTATGAATTTAAATCAAATCTTAAATTCCAATGTACGAGTATATGCTACCTAACATAAGCCAGTACTAAGTATTCTGCAGGATAGCCTTCACATGATTAATGACTGCGATCAGATTTATTGATTAGCTCTCGTGCATGTAAACATCACTTTTTCTTAATTTTATCAAATCAAATTAATCACAAAATGCATATCTGAATGAGAGTTTGCGACTTGTCAATTTCATAAAAAGGCTCCCTGCAAATATACTTTTCCTAAACCTGTTCCACCCTCCTCCCCTTCCCCCCAACCGGCCATCCCCCATTCCCTTTTTCACCTCCATCCCCACCCGCAGGCTAGGGTCCCTAGATTAATACGTACTGTTCAGTGACGGTGAAGAACGACTGTGAGAGGTGTTCATCACCTGGCGCTGGTCGCGGTGCCCGGGATGGTGGCGTCCACGATCCATATCTCCACTACCGTTGTAGGGGGGCGGACCTTCCTCTTGTGGTCTTGAAGACTTTTTCGGGGAGGCAGCTGGAGATACAAGTGTACAACAACGTTGCTAAGTTTCTCTACAAATTTGAACTAAATGTAAGAGAAGACATGAACTATATCAGAGAGTACACAAACATGATAATCTAAGTGTAAGAAAATCCCTACACAAACACTTTCATTGAATATAGTTTCTATCGTCCAAAACTCATATTCAGCCCTGAAGAACAGGCCAGATTATTCCCATATCTGTTCTCTTGCCTCCACTACTTGTATTTGGTCCAGAATGAAACACCAGTTAATTCTCATATCAATGATGTATAGATGAACTTGTCAGTATGTAGCCCTAACACACAGCCTCAGGAGACCACATATCAATTCCTACATCAGACAGCACCATGTCATCAATATCTAGCTATACAGATGAACACAGGTAACAGGTGCCCTTGGTATAAGCAGGAATATTGGTAAACTGAGTAAATCAAAACCCAAGCACATTTCAAATTTATTTTCCTTTTTTTTTAAGCCCCCAGATCACATGATCTGGACATATTGCTTTTGGGCTATCTTTTTGCCTGTTGTCAATTTTAACCTTGACCCTAACTAAGCACCATAAAAGGTATGGCTTTCATATTTGCCATGCATGTTCTTTGTAAAAAGACCTCTCTGGTGGTACCAAAAATTTTGACCATGTCACCTTTGACCTACATTTGAAAAATTTTAATGTTGGCCATAACTAGTTTATCACAAGAGGTATGTCTTTCATATCTGACATGTGTGCTCCTTGTGACAAGACTTACCTCTCTGCATTACAGGCGAGGGCTGACTGAGCAGGTATCTGACATGTGTGCTCCTTGTGACAAGACTTACCTCTCTGCATTACAGGCGAGGGCTGACTGAGCAGGTATCTGACATGTGTGCTCCTTGTGACAAGACTTGCCTCTCTGCATTACAGGCGAGGGCTGACTGAGCAGGTATCTGACATGTGTGCTCCTTGTGACAAGACTTACCTCTCTGCATTACAGGCGAGGGCTGACTGAGCAGGTATCTGACATGTGTGCTCCTTGTGACAAGACTTACCTCTCTGCATTACAGGCGAGGGCTGACTGAGCAGGTATCTGACATGTGTGCTCCTTGTGACAAGACTTACCTCTCTGCATTACAGGCGAGGGCTGACTGAGCAGGTATCTGACATGTGTGCTCCTTGTGACAAGACTTACCTCTCTGCATTACAGGCGAGGAATGACTGAGCAGGTATCTGACATGTGTGCTCCTTGTGACAAGACTTACCTCTCTGCATTACAGGCGAGGGCTGACTGAGCAGGTATCTGACATGTGTGCTCCTTGTGACAAGACTTACCTCTCTGCATTACAGGCGAGGAATGACTGAGCAGGTATCTGACATGTGTGCTCCTTGTGACAAGACTTACCTCTCTGCATTACAGGCGAGGGCTGACTGAGCAGGTTAGCTAATCCATGGTAGAAAGCTCCTTGTTTAGCAACTTTGAGGGATACAGTCTGACCAGTCCTAGTCATCAACTCTGCAGCTCTGAGCAAAAACAGAAGGTTTTTTCAGCTAATTTAAGTCCATTAGTACAGACAATTGCAGACAAATTGTAATTTCACCCAATGGAATACATGAGCTGGTCATAAAAATTTGTCCACAAACACCAATACATGTTTGATGAACATCAAGGTGTACATGCAGGTAGAGGAGGAGATGCACTAATGACTCGTCAGGGACGTCAAACATTACCTTTCTATGTGTATGGGACATAGTTAAGGGGTGTGTCATTTCCTACATATTGCATCACAGTAGCCATTGAAAACATATCATGCAGTGGCGTACATGAGATTATGTCTCGACCACTTGATGTCCCAAATAAATTTAACACCTGAATTTATTATCTACCTATAAATCACTTTACATTGATGTCCTGGACAGATTTTAACATTCAATATTCCTCCTATAGAGCAGCTAATGTAAACCTTAATCCGATCAAAACATCCTAAACATTGGATGCTTTTTATATTGCCATTATTCAACAATTCTACACTATGGTAAACATTCTTCATTTTTGAACACATAATTTAAACCTAAACAAGACATTGAAAAAAATGTTTTCATTTCAGTCCTATTTTCCCCTGTAAACTACAACAGTATTTTAATTCAATATTGTACATTACCAGGAGTTAATTTTTGAAAAACTTACTTTTCTTGTGTAAGCCCAATCAGGCTCTTGCCATCTACTTCCAGCAGCTGATCACCAGCCTGTAGACGTTTATCCTGGAAACAAGAGGAGCAAAAGTTACAAAACAAGGGCTATAAATCTTGTCCTTGTAACAAAGGGCAAAATGTACAAAACAAGGGCTATAACTCTTGTCCTTGTCACAAAGGGACAAAATGTACAAAACAAGGGCTATAACTCTTGTCCTTGTAACAAAGGGACAAAATGTACAAAACAAGGGCTATAACTCTTGTCCTTGTCACAAAGGGACAAAATGTACAAAACAAGGGCTATAACTCTTGTCCTTGTCACAAAGGGACAAAATGTACAAAACAAGGGCTATAACTCTTGTCCTTGTAACAAAGGGACAAAATGTACAAAACAAGGGCTATAACTCTTGTCCTTGTCACAAAGGGACAAAATGTACAAAACAAGGGCTATAACTCTTGTCCTTGTCACAAAGGGACAAAATGTACAAAACAAGGGCTATAACTCTTGTCCTTGTAACAAAGGGACAAAATATACAAAACAAGGGCTATAACTCTTGTCCTTGTCACAAAGGGACAAAATGTACAAAACAAGGGCTATAACTCTTGTCCTTGTAACAAAGGGACAAAATGTACAAAACAAGGGCTATAACTTTTGTCCTTGTAACAAAGGGACAAAATGTACAAAACAAGGGCTATAACTCTTGTCCTTGTAACAAAGGGACAAAATGTACAAAACAAGGGATGTAACTCTTGTCCTGGTTACACAGGAGCAAAAGAAACAAAGCAAGGGTTATAACTCTGCAATGATATTATCTATCTGCAATATTTATAAAAGAAATGATGCTTTATCAAGTGAATGACAAGGCTAATACAGATATAAAAATACCAGTCATGCATATTAACTTGTGTCTCTGCTGGATGTTGGATTATAAATAAATAACATAAAACAAGATGTGGACAGCAGTTTTGTACAGGTACTACCTTTATCTAGCAGTAAAGCTTTAGTTTCTATTTCACTTTATACTACAATAACTTTTTTATTGTTATTACATATTTTAATAACATCTTTAAAATTTCTGGAAAACTAGATTCTAAATTAATCACTTAATTGCTGTTTTATTTACCAATATCAGGAACATTTCTGTTGTTAACATAAGGTAAAACTATGGTTAAACTAGGGTTAATATTATGCCTGAGAAATTACCATAAAGTAGCATTGCTACAATGAAACCAAACAGTAAGTAATGTCAGTGACATATCTGTCCGTCAGTCAAGCTATCTCATCAGGTGAGTTCACGGAGTATTGTTCTAGATAGGCCAACAATTATAAAAGGATGAAATGTCAAAAGTAAGGACTCGGAGGTCAACTGGAACCACCATAAATTGGTTGAGATTTTCCCAAGTCTCTGTCAAAAGGCAGGAGGAATCTCAGGTGTGTTTGATTACAATAATTGCTGAGGTGATTCTGTGACCAGACGTAAGGAAGAACCCCACACATAGCTTAACTTGTTACAGCACTTAGCACCCAGTGATCCAGAAAATGTCTCCGTGAAATCTCAATAACATGGGTATTAGAGGCTGTTTATTGTACAGTGTGGTACTACCAGGTCCTGTCGTGGGAACACATGTCTCACACCTTCCTTGACTTACATACCTATCTGCCATGTGATAACAATGTTGTTTTTCACTGTTGATGTTACTGTAACTGTTGTGTAAGTACATAACAGTACCTTACTTCTAACATCAGATTTGAAAGTGAGGGTTTTATTGACTTAAATGCATCAACCAACATAACAGTACATTACTGCTAACATCAGACTGGAAAGTGAGGGTCTCCTCGACTTGATCAACCATGTCCTTTTATGGAGGACACTCATTGATACCAGTCCTTAGTGTTTATATTGATCATGTTTTTATGTACATATTTATATTGGTATTTTATAATAATTTGATGATTACAACATTTACAAAGAGACATTCCTGAGTGATAATACAAGTGCTGTCAAAGAAATGATTGGTGTCTGACATAACTCAGATGCAAACAGTTAAACACTAATTTGTTCTGCAGGTCTGTACATCTGGTAATATCACAGAAGAGCCAGGCAGGAGTTATCTACCCTGTCATCAGTTTGTGTGTGATTATGCTGGCTAGACATGTCATTACTCTTCCCTTATCTGGTCATCTCAACCACCTGACCGTGACTTGATAAATAAAACCTTATTACTGTAACGCCTGGTCAAGCGACCAGGTGACCAGTACACAGTTGTTTGTTCAACACCAGATTGTTGTCTGCCTTTATCATTTTCACAGATTTAGTATTCAAATCATTACAGAAAATCTTCTGGGATTGTAAATACTTGCTATTATGGCACCACTATGGTGTGAAACTAGAGACCTCTGTATAAACACTGATTGGCATGTGTCAATATATACAGGATCTGTTAAGGTAAACTTGGCTAAAAAAAATACAGGATGATGACAGATTTGTGAATAAAACAGAAATTTTGGAACACCATTCATGCATAATGAATGATAAGTTCTGGGTGAAACACTTAATGAGAAAATGATGAGTGAGGTGGTAACATCTAAGTTAGAAATCTGTTGGTTATCCTCCCAGTAAATGTGGATAGGTCTACATGAATACTTACAAGAGCAGCAGCACCGCCTTGTACTACTGATTTGATATAGATCCCTCTTTCCTTTTGTCCCTCACCCTGCAATGTAATTTCAAAATTTACATACTATACAATAAAAATTTGAATAAGTTTTTAAAGTGAAAAGTAGAAAACTTAAGCAAAAACAGATAGCTTTTGACATTTAACAAATACACACAATAACAAAACATGCACCACATACAACACAATATACCCAAACATCCCCCCCTCCAAGACATATGACAGGTGTTCTATCAGGGTAAAATCCTACCTGACATCTGACACGTTCTAATCCTCCCCACAGATTATCAGACTACTGATAGTTTTATCATATAATGGGTAAGTTTTTTCTTAAAGACACAATGATAAAAATTTCATGGACTTAAAAAAACAAAGAAAATTGCATTGATTATCGAAACATATGGGTGGAGTAGTGAAACTGGATACACCAGAACACAGAGAACTAAGGTATTGTGATACAGACTTTTTATCTAGAGAGATACTGGGGGTGGGGAGTCTGTATCTCGCACCAGATGAAGGGGAGTGGCAATATCTAACTGTAACACATTGCTTCTGTCCAGGTGTATGTCCTCAGATTTCTGTGTAGTTGGGGCACAGATCCCCGCCTTAATGCTACTGAAATGTATTGTTCATATGCAAAATATCTTCATTTAATTGTAAAAATGATTTCAGGTTTAATTGGGGTGTATTTTGTGTCTACAAGATAGCAGTTTTCCCCTCAGAGAATGATAATAATCCATTTTATATGTAATAGCTAGTTTCTTACATCTTAATATTTTTACAAATATTGATTTAATTTTCATTCTTCTCCTTCACACTTTCAAAAGTTTTGAAGGAAATGAAAGCAAAAGAATGTGATCATGCTAGATCTAATTGAAATACATCTATCAAATTTTTCAAATGGGATATCGTCAAATAAAATTTTCTTTAAAATTTTCTTTTTTTAGTCCACAGTATGTGAAAATGTTCAGAGTATTTATAAACATAATGACTGTTCTTTAGTAATTTTGTTTGGGTGTATGATTACTGGTGATAAAACGCCAAGTAAGGGTTCCCTCATGTGTGGAATTAGTATAGAATAGCACGCTTGACTGAGTTCTGAAACAGGGCCAGGATGAGTACAAGGTTATACCGAGTCTACACCTAAGGTTCTTGTATGTTAAGAGATATACATTTATATATAAATATAAAGGTCATTGACCATTTCACATCCTGGAAAATAGCCAGAAAGATGTCTTTAACGCCACACTAAACCAAAAGTCACTATCTCCATACACCAACTATTGTACAACTCGCATTTACAGGTGTAGAGATGCTGTTTACAGGTGTGGAGATGCTGTTTACAGGTGTGATGACTGCTATGTCCCCAGTCTTTCATTGGTGATCTTGGTTATCGTTGTACATATTACATGCCCTGATTAACACAATTCACACTAGACAGCTAATTCAGATCTTTACAAATAGAAATATGAAATGTAACCTCATGTCAACAAATTCCTGTCTTATTGCTTCCTATTGTCCAGAATCTCCCACTAATACACATCTGTCTCATGTAGCCCAGAATCTCCCACTAATACACATCTGTCTCATGTAGCCCAGAATCTCTCCCTACTACACTGCTGTCTCATGTAGCCCAGAATCTCTCCCTACTACACAGCTGTCTCATGTAGCCCAGAATCTCCCACTAATACACTGCTGTCTCAAGTAACCCAGAATCTCCCACTAATACACACCTGTCTCATGTAGCCCAGAATCTCTCCCTACTACACAGCTGTCTCATGTAGCCCAGAATCTCTCCCTAATACACAGCTGTCTCATGTAGCCCAGAATCTCCCACTAATACACTGCTGTCTCATGTAGCCCAGAATCTCTCCCTACTACACAGCTGTCTCATGTAGCCCAGAATCTCTCCCTAATACACAGCTGTCTCATGTAGCCCAGAATCTCCCACTAATACACTGCTGTCTCATGTAGCCCAGAATCTCTCCCTACTACACAGCTGTCTCATGTAGCCCGGAATCTCTCCCTAATACACAGCTGTCTCATGTAGCCCAGAATTTCCCACTAATACACATCTGTCTCATGTAGCCCAGAATCTCCCACTAATACACTGCTGTCTCATGTAGCCCAGAATCTCTCCCTAATACACAGCTGTCTCATGTAGTCCAGAATTTCCCACTAATACACTGCTGTCTCATGTAGCCCAGAATCTCTCCCTACTACACAGCTGTCTCATGTAACCCAGAATCTCTCCCTACTACACAGCTGTCTCATGTAACCCAGAATCTCCCACTAATACACATCTGTCTCATGTAGCCCAGAATCTCTCCCTACTACACAGCTGTCTCATGTAGCCCAGAATCTCTCCCTACTACACAGCTGTCTCATGTAGTCCAGAATTTCCCACTAATACACTGCTGTCTCATGTAGCCCAGAATCTCCCACTAATACACTGCTGTCTCATGTAGCCCAGAATCTCTCCCTACTACACTGCTGTCTCATGTAACCCAGAATCTCTCCCTACTACACAGCTGTCTCATGTAACCCAGAATCTCTCCCTACTACACAGCTGTCTCATGTAACCCAGAATCTCCCACTACTACACTGCTGTCTCATGTAACCCAGAATCTCTCCCTACTACACAGCTGTCTCATGTAACCCAGAATCTCCCACTAATACACATCTGTCACATGTAACCCAGAATCTCTCCCTACTACACAGCTGTCTCATGTAACCCAGAATCTCCCACTAATACACATCTGTCTCATGTAGCCCAGAATCTCTCCCTACTACAAAGCTGTCTCATGTAGCCCAGAATCTCCCACTAATACACATCTGTCTCATGTAGCCCAGAATCTCTCCCTACTACAAAGCTGTCTCATGTAGCCCAGAATCTCTCCCTAATACACATCTGTCTCATGTAGCCCAGAATCTCTCCCTACTACACAGCTGTCTCATGTAACCCAGAATCTCCCACTAATACACATCTGTCTCATGTAGCCCAGAATCTCTCCCTACTACACAGCTGTCTCATGTAGCCCAGAATCTCTCCCTACTACAAAGCTGTCTCATGTAGCCCAGAATCTCTCCCTAATATACAGCTGTCTCATGTAGCCCAGAATTTCCCACTAATACACAGCTGTCTCATGTAGCCCAGAATTTCCCACTAATACACTGTCGTCACATGTAACCCAAAATCTCCCACTAATACAGATCTGTCTCATGTAGCCCAGAATCTCTCCCTACTACACAGCTGTCTCATGTAGCCCAGAATCTCTCCCTACTACAAAGCTGTCTCATGTAGCCCAGAATCTCTCCCTAATACACAGCTGTCTCATGTAGCCCAGAATTTCCCACTAATACACAGCTGTCTCATGTAGCCCAGAATCTCCCACTAATACACTGCTGTCACATGCAACCCAGTATCTCCCACTAATACACATCTGTCTCATGTAGCCCAGAATCTCCCACTACTACACAGCTGTCTCCTGTAGCCCATAATCTCCCATAACCATCAACTTGTCTCCTGTACCCCAGAATCTCCCATAACCACCAACTTGTCTCCTGTAGCCCAGGGTTTCTGACTATCACCCAACCTGACTATCTAGACCATAGATTTTTTTTTATTTCTACACAATAACACACAACACAAAACATTTATTAGATCAGAATAAAACATTACATACAAGACATAAGCTGAAATTTCATCACTGTATTCCAACAAACGATGAAGATTCAATATTCATTACATAACGTGGTGATAAAACTGATTTGATCTTTGTTGATTTTATCAAACATCTCTTTATATACATATTCACTTATATCAGTCATATAAAAATTAAATTCTGGATGAGACTGGATCAGATTTCAACAAAGTAGGTGTTACTTCATTTTCAATTTACCTAAATGTTGAATAACAACATTAATAAATAGAAAAGGTAAAAAAATCTTACATTTAAGAGCAATGTAAAAGCTAATGTACATGATTTAGACAAAACTATTTCTTTCTATGGTTTGTGTAGAAGCTTATATTGACAGATTTCAAAACCAGTAACACATGTTACAGAAGTGAGAAAAAATTATTTAGAATTTCATCAGCTGCCTCAGACTTATGTGTCTGGCACAGGCAGGTGAAAACTTACCTGTAATATTATGGCTGAACTCTATTCCAACTAGTGATCATCATGCTGTCTGTAATTAACTTGTCTCATTAACATAACAATATACATTAAGATTGCCAAATGAATGAAATCATTCCTGCACTTTCCCTTGGATCCCAGACCTTAGTTCCAACAGTTCCCATAAAGTTCCCATAAAGTTCCCATACAGTTCCATAAAGTTCCCATAAAGTTCCCATTTTGTTTTGGTATTTGTATTTCCCATAAATCCCCGATGTATTTCTAAAACCTATACTTCCCAAATTCAATAAATATTTCTACATATTAGGTCTCAATATCACTTACAGAATCAATTATTTCTTTATCTGTACAATTAAACCAGCACATGAAGCCTAAAAAGCTTCAATTGTTTCACAAATCATTGAGTCATCATTTATCTCTCAGTTTAAACAAACTTAAGGCTGTATGCCGCCTTATTAAGGAATGCAATACATGTCTACAATGTGTCAGCAGTAGAACTGGTCTTCTGACAAAAATTACAAGTTTTAATGGAACTCTTTAAAAGGAAATGACTTTCATCATATGGTATAAACCATACTTAAATAGCAAGTGTACCATTCAAAATGCATGATCAATAATTATATATAGGAGAGAATGATTTATGAAACAGTCTCGGAAAGTCTTGTTACTGTAGGTGATATATGAGACCTACATATCACACACGTCAGACAGTGATAAAGCTTTCACCATAGACAACTGATCAATGTCTGTTTCAGAAAGCAACATCACAACGAAATGCTGAAATACAGAATTAACAACATTAAAACTAAAGCCCTTCATTTCAGTAGTCTCTCTCACTAGTAACCTGACAGAGCTTTATAATACAGAATTAACATTAAAACTATTACCCTTCATTTCAGT